GGGGAGTGGATGTATAGATCCAAATTTTCTTGACCTCGGCACTAGTTGGAGGTGAGTGGTCAGCTTCACGCCCCGGCCGCTTTACCCCCGGGGAAAGAGCCCCCGGTACCCATTGGATAGGAGGTTGGATGGACCCCAGAGCCGGTCTGGACGATTTGGAGAAGTTAAAATTCTTGACCCTACCGGGACTCGAACTCCGACCCTTCACAGTCGTCCAGCCCGTATAATAAAATTTGGCTTAACCGGGTTTTCGATTAACCGTGACTTCCATCCCCACCATTAGCCCGGATAATCGAGAGTTGACTGTAAATGATTTCTAGGGAATGCTAATGGTGTGATGCAGGATTTGAGATTCTCACGCTGGTGGTTATGAAGAGTTCAATCTTCTGGGATATAACACCATGTAGGCCCCTGAAAGTCAGCTGATGTTTGGGAGGAACATGTCACCTCCATCTTCAGGGTTGAAGAAGAAGCCCTGCAAGAAAACACCATGAAGCAACAGGCAAGCAGGCTCTGCTACATCATAAGGTGTTACATCCCAATTCAATCTCAAAAATTCGGGACTCATTATGGCTAGTAATGAGATGCTATTTCTTACCATGACGGAGTCGGTGAAGTGGATGGCATCCAGCCAGTCCTGCAGTGCAATCTGACATGTGTCAAGAACCCGCCGAGTTAGTTCCACAGTACTGGGGTCTGACAGATGTGACAATAAGGCCCACATGGGGTATGCACTTGACTCAAGTTCAGCTGAGAAAGCTGCATAGTATGTGTTGGGCTCGAATTCGACATGTTGACCCATCTCTCGAAAGTTCACATTCATGCCTGCAAACAATACAGCAATACGGGAGATGTGAGTTTCATGTATCATCTTCCAGGATGTAAAGATGACACCTGCTTGGTTCCAGTGTTTTTCTTTTAATGGTGCTATTTACAGTGGCTAAAAGTGTAACACCTATCATTCCCAGCAATGATATATGTAGAAATGAATTTTCCAATCTACAATTTAACAACTTCCTTAATCAGGTGCGTTGGTTATTCAATGGGCTCTGATTGATAGTGTCCACCTTGTTCTAAAGTGCCATGTCTATCCCTACACGTCATGCTGTCTAGTCTGGCAGACAGGTATCCACCTTTGAAAGAATGTCCCTAATCTTCAAAATGCAAGAATAGCCACAAGGTGATGACACAGGAAAGGGAGGACAGGAACCAGTGACAACTGAGCTAATGGGAAATGAACATGACACAAAAGAATGTTCGAATTTCAGGTTCTCATTGCAGTGACTATTAAGAATGCGTCTTTTGGGTTGTTCTGTAGAGTGCCTGACAGTTTGGAGAAACATATCACTTCCATCCTCAGCGTCAAAAAGCAAGCCAAGCGAGACACCAGCTGAAGCTGGTTCACTTTACACACCTGTTTTGTTTGCTCTTTTACCCTGAAGATAGAGGCAATATATTTGTCTAAATTGTCAGGCTCTTGATGAATGACATGATGTTACAACCCAGAAGACTGTCCTTATCATATTTCAAAATGGTGGTTAATATGAAGCACAGCCTTCCGGGGTGTGATTACATATGGAATGTGGTGATGTGCAGCTTGGAAAATTTCACGACATTTCAGGGGAACAGAGACAGCTGTGAAAACCTCAAAACCATCATTCCACCATGAAGTTCTGTAAACAAGTGGCTGTTCTGTTCTTTTTTGGACCCCTCTCTCCTGCTAGCTTGCTCATTTCCCCTGGCTCCTGTCCTCTCTTTCCTACATCATGCATCACCATTTTCCATATGAAGATGAAGGCATCAAGTTCTTCAAAATGTTGGTACCTATGTACCGAACTGCATGGTGTCACATCAGAAACAGCAAGTGTACTCACACAGCCTATTTGGATCACTATTCTTCTGTAATTCTGTGTCAGCAGGAAGTAACTAATTAACTCAATGGCATCCTTCCTGAGAAGCTAGGAGTCACTCAGCTACTCAAAGAATTTCCTGCCTTTTATGGTCCATGAATATTCTTTACCGTGATCACAACAGCCCATCATCAGTTCATATCCTGTGCCAGACTAATCCAGCTGATGCCCCCCCCCTATTTGTCTCTAATTACTTTTAATATTGTGACATATTTGCTCAAAGTAGGAACTGCGGAGCCAGAAAAACAGCTCTTGCTAGCAAATGGCTCTCAAACTTCTTCATTTCCAGGCAATGACTCAGTAAACATGTTCCCAACAGATATGCATGCAACAGTACAGGTAGTTGGAAATGGTGTTTTCTACTCAGTCTGTGCACAGGGGTTGTATGGAGGACAACTGAGGCAACCACAGTTCAAGAGAAAGGGAGCTGCCATTCAGAGAGGACATGACCCCAGAAGCAGCCACTGTTAGAAACCGTTACCAGACAACTACTAGTGAAGACACTGTGGGCTGGAAAAGACTTAGCATGCACGCTAGTGATTTGTGAAGTGTGGAAATTAGTGATGAAACTATAATTACTCATGATTACAAGCTGTGTGTATAAATGGTCAATAAATCCAATATCCAATCCAAAACCCCCATCTACAGTCACTCCATACACGTGACAATATTATCTTCACATCTACACCTAGATCTTCCAAGAAGTCTCTTTCCTTCAGCATTCTCTGATCACAATTTTATGTGCACCTCGTACATTCCCCACCCATAGTACATGTACTGCCCATCTCATCCTTACTGACTTGATCACACTAATAATATTTGGTGAAATGTGCTTATCATTATACATACTCTCCTCAGCACCGTGTCCTCACCTTGAAACATTGACAGGAATGCAAACCACATCTCCAGCAGATTGTCATCGCTCATAAACTTTACTGCAACTGGACGGTGTGACAGTACGTTGTTCAGATCTGACACCAGAGGCCAGTAACAGTGTTCTTTCATTATATTACTTCCACAGTCCACCACATAGTGGAAATTCTTGTCTGGATCTGTAATATCAAAACACTAGTCACTACAGACACTGTAAGCAGTCTTGAGACCTACCTCATGACAAGCATCTCAAACTTCAGAGTAGCCACATACAGAACAGATGTACTGTCCGTACCAGAAGTTCAGTAATCACTACAGAATATACAAATTGTGCCATAGTCATTCATCCGAAAAGTAAGATTTATTGCAGACAAATCACTGGAGGGGAGGGGGAGGGAACGAAAGGAAAAAATGAATGAAAGTAGGAAGTTTTTAGTGCAGCTGGCTGATTCACACAAACACGATGATAAGGCAAAGTGCAACACTCTATCCTGCAATGTGTATTGATACATCCTGCAGGATACCTGCACCTCAGGTAACCTTCACAACAATTTCACTGGACTCTCTTCAAGTGATTTCGCAACCCAACCATCAGCGCTAATACTTGCTAATGTTCTGCCACAATCTTTAAAATGTATTCAGGCTTCCTGCATCACTGAACTGTCTGTACCATCATAGAAGGCGATGTAATGCTGGCATATTTCTTCCACTGAACAGTTCTTCAAATTTATGTTGCACATGTATGGGACAGTCATGTCGCACGTACAAAATTATGCTCTTTGCATTCTGTTGGATCACTGATGCCACATTTATTTATGTGCTACTGCCAACTGTACTCATAAAATTCCGTTTCTATTCGTGTTTTGCATTTTTCTTAATCCTCTTCTCTGGTGGTTTGCCTGCAATAAATTTTCCTTTTTTGATGAACAATATGAGATAAGTGCAGCCGGCGCATAAGGCTGACAACCTTACCGCCATCTCTGAGCAAACTGTCTAGATAATGTGGGACCCTCAACGTCTCACAATCCCGTGGACCTTCACGGCCTATTACATGGATACCTTTATCTTTTTTTTTTTTGCCTTGCCCTGTAAATCACATAGGTTTGCTTTATAACTGCGCCTTCTGTGTGCACATCAAACTTCAAAAGACACTTCACTACCACAAGGGCACAATAACCCTGTACGTACCATGAAGGGAGTTCTGGATAAGTATCTTGCTCATCATGTACTTCAGGCTTATGACCATCACATGAAGTAGTTTCAGATTCTCCACCATCCTAAATGCCAAGCTCTCGTTACTGAACAGCTGCACACTCACGTGGACCACTCTGTTAGACAGTGTATCAGGATCTTTTGCTTTTTCCAGCATCATTGAAATGCGACTGTAGTGCAGCACGAACGCTTCTGTTAAAGCTTCCTGTAATGAGAATTCAGTGAAATTAATTTCTAAAATTACTCTACGTCAGAATGCTTCACTCAGGTTTCAGCCTTCTGTGGTCAAGTAGGAGAGAATGCGTGTTACATAAAAATAAAGAATTGCAAATATCTCTGTTTCTGATTTACTCCTACTGAATTTAGCCTCTGGACTGTCAAGCCCTCCCAAAGAACTACCTCCTACAAAGACTAAGGCTCTAGGCACAATAGATCACTGTGGTCGCGGTGCAAGGGCCAAGAAGGCCCACCCCTTATACATTCAACACTAAGGCTACTGGGAGGTAAATGCAGTTGCAAAGAGAAACCTACATTACAAAGTTAATAGAAAGTCCGTCGAGTGTAACAATTTGTAGGTCACTTCTTTATTATTATTTCTGCCTTACATGTTCCGGTTTGACACAACCATCATCAGAGGCACTTGCTATAATTATGGAAACACTGTCGCTTTTTTTGATGTTCACAATTATGTTTGTCGTGTGGACGCTGCTACGATATGTTGACGTGTAAAAGCACAAAACATGCTAAGATAGTTGAGTACACTCTCAAGTTCTCACTTTTCATCCGAACCTATTTTTAAGTTAAAACGCTAAAATAGGTTCGGATGAAAAGTGAGAACTTGAGAGTGTACTCAACTATCTTAGCATGTTTTGTGCTTTTACACGTCAACATATCGTAGCAGCGTCCACACGACAAACATAATTGTGAACATCAAAAAAAGCGACAGTGTTTCCATAATTATAGCAAGTGCCTCTGATGATGGTTGTGTCAAACCGAAACATGTAAGGCAGAAATAATAATAAACAAGTGACCTACAAATTATTACACTCGACGGACTTTCTATTAACTTTGTGATTGATAGTGTAACGGACCAAAATGAAACAATTCAAAAAACCTAAATTACTTTTTGAAATAACTTTTAAATGACAACAGATGTAGATCTTGTGACAGCCTGTTCTTTACTCTAAGCATCAGTATATCACACTTGATGCCATCTCTTGACAGAAATATCATATTAATTGATTAAACAGTTGACGTAATCAGCATGTGGCATGAAATGGGTTAGGGGCTGATGGGAATGGATTCATTTTCTTCTAATGAGCCCAATGGAGGCAGGGTGAAAAAATATACAGTTTCTAAAATGCTGCTTGCAAAAGCTCCAGATGGTGGACAGTTTTCAAAATAACAGCTATGTCTGCAGCAGTTAAAGCATTAAAAGCCTCCTTCATAACAAGAAATGCTACATGGTGAAGGCAAGACAATGGCCAACTGGATCCCCATACATACTGAGAATGATGAAGCGCATAGAGGTGCAATATTAATCAAGTCAATTGAAGAAGGCGTTCTTGAACCTGCCTGCAGTCTCGTTAACATTTTGCCATTAACTGTCATAAGAAGAGGCAGAAGTGCCAACCTTGTAATCATTGTCTGGTAACATGTTGAGCAAGAGACAAACAACTCGCTGTGGAAATTCGAATCGTACAGTCCAGAACACCATCTCTTCAAGGAATGTTCGGTGTATCAGCTGCTCTTGGAGGGATGGACAGTCTGAAACGGGTGATAACACAGTCATTTTTAACTTCTGGATTTCCTAAATTACGGACACTATATTTAGAAGACGAAATATACTTTAGTTCAGTGCAGATTATGGACAGCACTTACTGGCAATTAAACCTTTCCATACTGTGAATGAGATATGGTGAAACACATGTTTAGAGTTTCTTGATATAATGTTTTCCTCCATTTATGGTTCATTTTCAACAGTTCCAAGTCAGGAACTTAAACATTAAATTTCCTCCATTAAAATTTGCCTCATGTCAGTATTAGAACCCACTGATCCTCAAAGAAACCTTAAACTGGGGTTTTGTTTTATATCTCTCAGCTACACCCCTATCTACAAACCAGGCAGCTCAGTCACTAGAGCACTAGGCTACATGCCAAATGACCAGATAAACAGAGTCTGATCTGCAGTGGGGTAGATGTCACTCTTCACCACGTGGATTGGTTCTGGGGCTCACCCAGCCTCTATCCAAGAGGCACCAACAACTCTTCTCCTGGAGGTAATGTGGCCAGAGCATGATTGTAACTACTCATTTCCATTTACTAAGATTAAAAAAACTGGTGCTATACCTCCACAATTTGGGCAACACTTGATTCATGTGCAAAGTGATGGTCAGTTGTGGATTTTTACATTTCGCATAGTTGGGGGTGGAGTCCAGCTGGGTCCACTCGGCACGGCGGCCACTGACTGGCCTATTGTACCCCAGGTGATTATGATGATGGAGAATTTGGTGGAATGAAGATTGTCAGGGGAAAATGAAGTAGTCGGAGAAAACCTGCCCCAGCGTCATTTTGTCCACCACAAATCCCACTTGACCAGACTTCGGATCAAACCTGGGCTGCCATGGCAGGAAGTCAGCGACTAACCACTTGAGCTATGGCAGGGCCTGGTTTTGCACATACTGACAATATACAACAGAAGTTATGTTTATAGTTTAAAATAATTCTGCATGGACTAACCACTCAATGCCAGTACAACACACGAACCCTAGCCAGTGCTTGGGATCGAGGACATTCACACTCAGTGCTACAGAGTCTGCCTACTAACAGTGCTGTGAAATGGAATAAGAAAAGAACAACTCCTTACTGTGTTACAACTCATTTCCACTGAAATAAACATTAAAGTTTACCCATGAATGAAATTTCAAGGCAGTTCAATCAGATCTTCAAAACCTACTATTCAAAGGTCAATTTTATTAGCCTACTTTCCTTAAAGGAGGCTTATAAGATCACCTTGCTGTCTGCTGAGGGCTCAATACCTGAAAGCTGGAATAGTGGAACCAGAAGAGAAGTTCCCATGGCAACAAATACACATAAAACAACAGAAGAACCATTGGATTCAGTGTGTTCTACGCAGTCTCTGCTGTATCAAATAAAATGTAGTGAAAGTAGTCAATTAGTTCTTTCCAGAACTTCTTAATATTAGCATCTCACCCACACCTACATTTCAGCCCCCACAGTGATAACTCTTCACGTGCTTTACCAGCCAAATTTAGTGAAATTTCATCCAGTCTGCTGCCCACTTTATACACAGTGGTGTGTTGGCTTTAGTATTCTCATGTCAGTCTCTCATTTCTAGCACATATGAAACCAAAATGAAATTTTGACCACACTCTTATGGTCATGCCACATCTGAGGGGACGTTAATATAAATGTAGTTGCATGGGCAACCAAGGTGTCATCTGATAAGTCTTACAGGGATTAAAATACCGTACTTCTTACAGTTCAGCAAGCAAATGGCAACAAATCCTATAAATCAAAGGATTAATAGCTGCAAAACTAACCTCTGTACTCATCTGGTGGTTCAGGATTGGGAAGAGATAATACAGCTTCTGTGTACATTTCCTTGCTCGCAGCCATATATCTGTGATATTCTGATGAACCAGAACTTTCTTCGCTACAGTTCACAAGATTCTTGTAGATCTGAGGGTTGGTGAGTGCACCTGTCATCACTCTTCTCATGGCAGCACCCATCGCACTGAACTCGTGGAGCATTGTCAGGAATGAGTCCGCTTCATCGATGACTACCAGATGAGAATCACGATCTCCTGATTTTCTGTTATAATAATAAGAGTGTGTCACAAAATGAAGTTTCTGAGAAACGTGGGAAACCAGGATAGTTGAAGGAGTTAAGGCACAAGGTTACAAAAAGGTCTGGAAACAGAGTGGAGCAAAAACCAAGTACACAGTGGAAGCACTGTATGGAAATTTGACATAGAAACAAAGGACAAAACGTCAGGAGATCCAGCGTGGGGAGCCATTCTGACAGACATGGGACTAATGAAAGGGCTAACAAAATTTATATCATGTAATAAAACAACTTTGCTTCGCACCTGAATCCAATCCCAAAGTGGGGGGCACACCGACTGACAAACCATCCTGTAACAGAACCTGAAGTTTCAGAACTATTAAAAGCCCAAGATGGGGCACAATGCTGATGCAGTTCCACGTATTCTCTTCCTGCACAACCCATGTTAATGTTTTGTTACTTCTATTGCTTACACTTCACAGCGGAAGCCTTCCATGAGACTTCCCAACAAAAAATCCATGCCTGAATTTTACAAATCAGCCCACCATATTCTTGGCATCACAATCTTAACAGTACTGGACTAAGGACATGGGAAGGATGCACAAGGATGGTCGGAAACACAGTGTTTCCAACTCCCTGCCTACCGTTGTCCCCTCTGGCCTCTGAACCAACAAGGTATTTCTGTCATTGGCAAATAACATCCCTGTGAACAGAGTGGACAGACATGGGGGGGGATCCAGCGTCAGTAAACTCTGTGACAAGGGTCACGCCACAGCCCAAGCGATTAGTCACTGGCTTCCCATCATGGCAGTGTGGGTTCAAGCCCAGGTCTTGTCATGTGGGATTTGCAGCAAAGTGGGGCTGGAGCAGGTTTTCTCCGAGTACTTCGGTTTCCCCTGCCAAACTTCATTACACCAATTGCTCCACAGTCACCAGCACCTATCAACTGGGGCTGGTACAGTAGGCCAGTAGTGGCCGCAGTCTCACCCCATTAAACACTGTGACAAATTTCCTATGCTTAAGATTTTCCTTGGTTTGATGTTTGTACCCACTGGTCCCCAAGAAAGAAGCCCCAAATAGGGCTCCTAAAGCACTGAGAACTCAGACTGTGGTGTTCTGAGTTCTATTACTGTGTCTCTTCTATGGAAGATACCACTTCACAGAAACAAGCTGCTCCCATCTTCAGTGAAGTTATTACAGTGAGCATTCATATGGATTATACTGGCAGGGTGACAATCAGAATTTCAGGAGGATATACAAATAAGAACCCTGTCTGCGCCACAGGAAAAATGAAATACTACTACCAGGACTAACAGACAGGTGACGAGGTGAAAGAGGTCCTCCTCCTCTTCCAGCTGCGAACAGCACCTCCCTTGTTGCCCTACCTATGTAACCTGGCTCCGCTACCATCCTAACCTCTTTCACCCTGAAAATTGAAAAAATTATTTTTTATAATGCAACCTGCAGGTAGGTATTTAAGGTACAATGTGACCCATCAGTAACTTCAAGTTGGACAGCCGTGATGCAAGTCATTAAAACATTATAGACATTACTTACTTAATATCCTCATGGTTTATTTAATGATGCTGTCTGGAACTCAGGTCACACAGTTGTGAATGACAGCTGATTAATGAATGATGAATTGGGAAGGACATGGAAGAAGGCAGTTATGTCCTATCTGACAGCACTATCCCTGCCTGGAGGGATTGCAGAAAAACATAATAAGCCTTAGTCAATATAGTCAATGTCGCAGTTGAGGTCTAAATCTGGCACCTCTGTGTGAGGCCATAAACCACGTGGAATGGTTGCCTATGTCAGTACCTGTACTCCCTGAAGTGTTGAATGAGCCTCAGTATGATGCAAGGCATCACTGCCTCGGCCACACACATCAGATCACTGGGCACCGCAGTTTTATTCACCTGAGCTCTCGGCCCGTGACGATCACAAAATCTGAAATCATGAAGAAGATATAATGCAGATTAAGATTTATACTTTGTAAAGTCATGTTACTAACCTATGAAGAAGTCTTCTTCCTAAGAAGCTAACGGATGCTCAGTTAGTCAAGAAATTTGCAGCATTGTATGGAACACAGAGGTTCATTACTGTTTGCAACAGCCTGCTACTGATCCCTATACTGAGCCAGACGAATCCACTCCATACCATCCCACTTCTTCAGGATTCATCCTAATATTACCTTCCCACCTATGATTAGATCTTCCCAGTGGTCTCTTATCCATCAGCTTGTATACTTTCCTCTCTCTTGCATTAGAAGTACCACATTCATCTCATTCTTCCTTACTTGATCGTCCCACTAATATCTGGTGAGGACTACAAATTATGCAGCAATTTTTTCCAGCCCCGTTACTTCCGGACTCTTATATCCAAATGTTCTCCTCAGAACCCTATTTGCAAACACTCTCAGTCTTTCTTCCCTTATGTAAGAAATCAAGTCTTGTACTCTTATTAAGGCCCGTCCACATTACTCGTGCTCGTGTCAGAAGTTTACTGCTGCCAGAAAATCAGGATCTGGAGCTGACGAAGTGGATGCCCAAACTGGTTTGCATACAAAGCCTTCGCATTTCTTCACAACAGATATCAGCTCCAGATCCTGATTTTCTGGCAGCAGTAAGCTTCTGACACACCAGTATGAGTAATGTGGACGCGCGTTAAGACAACAAGAAACAATTATAGTCCTATATTGTGATGTACAGACCCACTGCTAGGTAAAAGACTCGGTAAACGCAACCCTGCAGGACCCAACGTGTGCAACAATAGGATATCTAGGCAATGGATCAGTAAACAAGCCTAAAACAATATGGGACAATTGAAGATGATGTCTGTGGAGTCCGCCTCCAGGTTATATAACAAAAAGTTCCGTGGGAGCAGTTAGTTCTCAAGAAATGGGTCGAGTTATGGAGATGGCAGTATAAGGAGACTGAGATGAAATTACACAAAAGGAAACACACTATGACAAGAAGACTTCACGTGTCATTTGAAGTGATAGTGACAGTTACAAATTTGTTGCCAGGTTATGACTAGTGGAGACTGAGAAAGTGTGGATCAGCAATAGTAGCACTGCCTGTAGTCCTGAGGTGATGTACAAGATGACAATATATCTAATCCAGAACCAGTCTATAAGTCATGCAAAAACCTACATGGGATGATATATTTCAACCTTTTTTATGTTTCCAGACAGCAATCAGGAAGATAAACGATTCTGAACTGAAGATATGCCACTTCATAAACAAAATCTCAACCGACTCCAATCATACAGGATAAACTGTGCCACAGTTTTCATGGCATGATGGCACAGGGACAACTTTGTCCCTTTACATTTACCTTCATTTCAATCTTAGTGAATGAAGCATACATAAACATTACCTTGTTTTCAGTGCATTCTGATACCCAATTTGCATATGGTATTCTAAGTACCGTCACAACGCCTTATGAATATTTATTTATTTAGGCCTATTTATTTATCATTTATGGTTCATTTAACAACACTCTCAGTAGTTCAGACCATACAGTGTCATATGGTAGGATAATTTGTGAATAATATATCTGAAGAATGTATAACAGAATGGTCACAGCCCATCCTGCTTTCAAGGTCCGAGAAAAACAATTTAAAACCTTCGGTATAGCCAGTCTCCAGGCCAAGATCTGAACCCAGGACCTCCTGAATATAAAGGAGTGTTACCCAGCTGGCCACAACATTCAATGTATTGGTAAAGATGTCATGACTGAAACCATGTGTCCTGACATACCACAAATGAAAATTATGTCACAAAACTCACCCAGTGTCTTTCATGACAGATGTGTCACCACAGTCACAAGCACCCCCGGCCTGACTACGGAACATATTGAAGTCATGCCCGTCATGGTTCCCACTCTTGAAACAATCAGAGCAGAGGGACATACAGGGCGAAATCCCACATGTACGACATCGATATGCCACAAAATTAGCGGTCCACACCAGCCCACAGGTTGTGGCATTGTCATACCTACGAACTAATAACAGCACAATGTTAAAAGCATGGCATAAGAAAACAATATCACCACAGGCCAAGAAAAAATGCATATCACGTGTAGGGCATAAGATTTTAGAGATTGATTTGGTTAAATTATGAAGAATGCCATCTTCTAGGATGTGGCACCGTGTGGTCCAACGTTTTGGAGGGACGTATCGCCTCCATCTTCCATCTTATGTATCACATACACGCGCACATACACATATGTAACATAAATTAAACAACATTAAACTTGAATTTCAGACTACTTGATGATGATAACAGAGATTGCATGACCTTGGGCATCAGTAAAGCTGGACTGTTCAAACACTGTCGCTGAACACTCATATTCTGTTCTGGATACAGATCTTGTGTCTCCATTCTTACAGGTCATGCTGCAATTGGTCAATTTCTATACAAGGAATCCTACAAATATCTAAAAGACTCAAAATTTTCAAAATTAATCCTGAACTACAAGTGACCAGATGACCTAATCCATAACAGCAGAAAAAAAATATTATCCAAGAAAGGTAAGTAACAGGAAAAATAGATAGCAAAGAACTTTGTGATTTGTTCTTTTCTCCTTGCATTATCAGGGTGGCTACACATATCTTAACTGTGAGGCCATAGCTTATTTAAGATTTTGTCACCTGCGCCAGTTCTTTGTGGAACCAAGCTGACTATTACAATGCCCCCATAAACAAAGCCCTACATTTCATAAGTGTATGATTAATATAGGGTTAATCAAAGGGGAAGCACAACAGATCATTAAAGGTCATGGTACAGGGGCCAGGTTTTATGGCCTGCATCTTATATACACCTTATACATAAATTAAAAAATTAAATTCGCTTAGTGGGGGTGAATTCCAACTGGGTCCATTTGGCACGGCGGCCACTGATTGGCCCACTGTAGCCTGCCCCAGGTGATTATGATGATGGAGAATTTGGTGGAATGAAGACTGGCGGTGGAAACTGAAGTTCTTGGAGAAAACCAGCCCCAGCACCACTTTATCCACCACAAATCCCACTTGCCCAGAGCCGGGATTGAACCCGGGCTGCTGTGGTGGGAAGCCAGCAACTAACCACTTGAGCTATGGTGCAGCCCCACCTTATACATACATCAGGATGGCTAAAGGCTGAGGTGGGCAGGGCATTTAGAACCAATAGGGGATACAAAGATGTAAACAATATTAGTGTTAGAAAACAACTTTTAAATAAATCACTACAGACAATTCTTAAAAAGGATAATGCTGAAATGGAGACTAAAGGAGATGGAAGAACAGGATCAAACAGCACGCTTCTGTAATGGTGATAATGCAACTTTGGGTTCTACAGCAGGGAATTACTCAGGCTGAGGATCTATCAGTGCTCTATAAAAATGAAGTTGTCCCTCTGATGCTTGTATAAACACCAAGCAGTCCATTGAAAGTCGACTGATGTTCTGGAGNCCCGAATGTGGGAGTTGACTTTCAGTGGACTGCATGGCGTTATATCCCAGAAGACAAATTCTTTGCAACACCTGCCATGAGAGCCTCAAATCCTACATTGATCACAAGTATTTCATCACGAATACCAAGATCCCACACTCCACTGTTCTGCAAGAAAACCACTGTATCAAATCATACTGACCAGCAGGTTAGCCAACTAGAAACCTACCCACTTTGAATTCCAACTGGCACTGGCTATTTTGACTGAGATTTTCATGATTCTCATCAGCCCCTCTACACCTTAACAGAAACCACTAATATCAACCCAGCAAGTTCACACAATGGGGACACTCCAGACTTGAATTATGGAGGCACAGAATCTGAATCTTCAGCTAATTACTGGTCAGCCTGACTGAAATTTTCCTCAATGTCCTCAGTAGAATGCTGTAACAGAACCCTGAAACAGGTCACAAACATCCCCTTCCAAATCTATACCTACTCACTATTCACACGAACATTACCAGAACCTGCAGCAAAGGATAAACGAACACAAAACTGAGCCTCAGTTACAAGATCCAGATACAGTATCTGTGATAATGCAGTCTTCTGGGATACATCGTGACTTGGAGTGTCTATAAATGGGGCCTTACTAGTGTTGTGCCGCAGGGGTGGTTGCCTAACCTTCCCCTGTGGTCACCGGTAGATATCTCTCACCGTGTCAGGAAGGGTGAGGGTGCAGTGGCAATAGTACCCAAAACCTTCTTAATTACACGAACACATGGGATATATGTGTGTGTATATATATATGTGTGTATGTGTGATCATAGATGGTTACAACATATACAGAAAAATCTTCGTGCTCCTTATTTCTCTAGTTACTACATACAGTACTACTACCTTAACCCATTCTCCTAATCTGCAATGGTAAGAATTCATAGTTTCTTAAATCTAACCTGAATGAAATACAACCTTAATTAGTGTGACCAACCATCGGTAAGTACTTACGCGCCCCATCTATCGGGCTGCAACTATGGACCCATCTCTCTCGTACTTCATCTCAGAGGTGCACCTCGCACCCCGGCATAGTCGTGCCCCAAAGGCTCAAGTAATGTTATACTGACGGCGTCAAGTGACAAGCGTCCAGCCTTAGCACGTGTGCGTCTGCCCCTTGTTCCAGGGTTCTTATACCGTCTGGAAACGTGGGCGCGCTTCCGTCCTCACGGACGCACTGGGCATCGTCGATTCCCATTGGTTAAGTTCCCTTCCGTCCTAGCAACTTGCCCGTATTTGGTCTTTCCTGACTGCCTTATAATTCTTCCATCATCATGGGGAGCGGCTGACTAACGGAAATGAATAATCATAAATAACAGGAAACAGGAGCGGTCTCCGTTTCCGTAGTTAAATTCATCTTTCGAACTCAAACATGATTTCATGTTTTCTGAACTTTAATAAAATAATTTAAAATATCAAAAATCAAATTCTCTGAAAAGTCCGGGCAGAACACTAGGTCCATCTGAACACCACTCATCTCAAGGCCTTGGACAACGACCATCACAGGAGAGTTTGTTCTCTTTGCTTCCTTTCCACCTACTCTATCCTTCACATCATTCCACTATGATCTTCCTTTTCAATTATTTTATGTGTGTAATTCTAGTTTCATAATTATTTTCAGAAACCAGGATAGTGACTGGCTATGGGCCAGACAACTGAGAGGTCAGATTTTGAGTCCTGGTATGGTTAAGAAATTTCTCTTCTCCACGTCATCCATACCAGCTCTGGGGTCCACCCAGCCTCCGATTCAATGGGCACTAGGGGTTCTTTCCCCAGGAGTAAAGAGGACGCGGCATGAAACTGACCACTCACTTCCAACTAATGCCAAGGTCAAGAAAACGTGACTCTATACATCCACAACCCCATGTGTCTTTGTGGTGCAGTGATTAATTTGTCAAGAACAGGTACAACTTAACCTTCCCAATTATTTTCTTCTCATAATTAATTTTGTCTCATCACCTCCTTTCTGCTCTCATATCTTCCTTCTTTAGTTTGCTTTTTTGCAGTATCAGGAGTCATGAGTTGAAGGAAGACGCTTGTATGTTTCTTGTCCCCACTAGAAAACATTTTTTTTCTAATGGCATACATAAGTGTGTGAAACACTGTATCACATGTATTGAAATGCAAGAGGGCTGTGTTAGAAACTATGCACTTGTGTGTCATGTATTGCTGTTGTGTTAATTTTAATACATATATTGTGGACATTTTCTGACATACCCTAGTATAGCTATTACCAAATCAACAAACACAGCGAATAATTATAATCTCTAGAGCAGTTGTGGTGCATGGTAAGTGTATATAAAGCTCATAATTATAATTTCTAGAGCAGCTGTGATGAATGGTAACTGTAAATAAAGCTCATGAACAACCTTACCTATACTAGCAAATTCATCTGGTGTCCTTCCACCAGCCATCAACCATTTACACCAATCAATGGTTTCCCACTCATCAATTGCTTTCCTCGGATTTAACAACACGGCCAGTAACTCATAAAGACGTTGTGGTGATGAAGAATTTGAGCAATCTGCGTGCACGTACGCAGCTGCACCACGCTTGCCCTTCTTCATCATCGACGCCATGGCTCCTTTCAGTTTGGCTTCTTACCAAAAATATGCAATTTCTTGAAATACCAAGTCATCAGAAAGTTCGACGTTTATCCAGCCTAACTAAAATATCCGTCAGGTCACAAACCCGACTTCAGTTTGGCAAAGCACAAAGAGCTAAACGAAACCAACAGACGGTTCTGGGCATCAACTGCTTATTAACTCTTGACGTTGACAATGCTGCACTAATTTTGAAATTAAATCACGATAAACTGTCTTCGCTACATGACGAAAAAGTTCATGCATATTTACTATCACGTCATGTTCAATGATTTCTTAATGAATACGAATATATCGCCGATTACACCATTTCCAATCAGCAATCTCACTAATCCAAGGACTATGAACTAAAGCATGAAAAGATGGCACTGTAAAGAAGACAATTAACTATCGAAATGCGAAAAGGCTCGCTTCAGAAAGTTCGATGTTTCGAATATAGGTGAACACTTTTGACTGTAAGAATGATGAAATGATGATGACATATACCTTCGATACTTTAATGTATAAACGTATTAACCAGGTAATACACAACGTGCATATTCTTTGATTTCAAACATAATATTTTGTCACACTTTATATTTATTTCAGTATTTCACTCATACAATTACGGTTGATATTCACATATGTGCCTGTGGGAGTTTTGTTGTACGAAGTTGGCAGTAATACGGAAACTGTGCAGCGGAAGAACGTGACTGGCGCACCTGATGAAGAAATGCGGGGGGGTGAGCTGGGACAGGGGAAACACGCAGAACTGCCATCTCTACGCATCCTACGTAAATTAGTCTGGAAATGATTGGAGTCGATCATAATACACCTATCGCAACTAATCGAATCGCTAAGTGTGGGCGCGGATCAAAAGAAACGAAATTTTACAAGAGACTTAGATCGGTTGGATGTTATCTCATATTGAACGGACGAAGAGCCCACACACAAACTAAACATCCACACCCTGGGTGGGATTCGAACTCACGATCCCGGTTTCCAAGCGAGCGAAGACAGTAAATGCCTTAGACCTCTCGGCTACCGTGACCGGCCTATAATGGATTTACCTTCCTCTATTTGTAATTTGTAAATTAGTGGAGATATTTACTCTAATATCATATAAAGAACCTGATATTTATATTGAAATTTCTTAGCTCTTCCCCTCTTTGCTATAGGGTTATACAAATACACAAAATCTCCCCTTTTCAGTAAAATCTCACGAGTTTTTCTATAGTAATATTTCTTAGTGAGTTAATTACTCAACTTGGACTGATTCCTAGCTTCTTTGCTTCATATAACATCATGGCTAGTTGGCTGACATGTCTATCATACAGAATTTTGTACCCTGAAGATGGAGGTAGTACTTTTGTCTGAAATATCAGTTCACACAAGATCTACACAGTGCCATATCACAGAAGATGGAATTCTTGAGGAATCTGTGTTCAGTTCTTGCAAGGGGAAACAAATTTTCTTTTTTAGTGTCCATACCGGAGACCCACGCATCCTTCTATCCAGTGGGTACCAGGGGCTCCTTCCCCAAGAGGTAAAACAGCTGGGTCATGAAGCTGGCCACTCATGTCCACCTAATGATAATAATGCATGGAACTATACCTCCACTTCACAAGTCATCATGGTATGGTGCTTAATTAAGCGTGCAGAATTTATTTTACTTTGTAACTACATAATGAGGAAACTAAGAATTCTGGCTGCTACCATGACTTCCTACAGGTACTTCAATCTGTGACTCAAGAGATGTCCTACTTTGTATCAGGGTAACATATAAGGGATACAGGAGAATGAATCTTGCATCGGGGGGGGGGTTGTTAGGTTCAATTTTGGAAGAAAAATTCGAGTTGAAAGGAAAATCTTCTATTAGAAGAAATTTTGTAGTGAATTTCCAGTTTGAAAACAATTTCCCTTGTACAGACATTAGGAGTCTATATAAATTAAATTATATTTAAAGTACAAATCTTAATCTGATTTCCAAATTAATCATCTGGCATACTACTAACTACAATACATCTATCACACTGGATGGTACAATTTTGTATGGGAGGGAGGTAAGGGAAGTTGGCTGCAATATTTTTACCATATAAAACATGATAACATCTTGGAGGAATTGATACACTTCCCATTTATATGTGAAATTAGGTTCAGCATAGCAGACAGGAGAAAGTAAAAAGAAACAAAGCTGAAAGGTGTAAAAATTAACAGCTGAAATAGGATTAATAGAAACTCTTTTTTCAATACAAATTACAGTATTAACTTATAAAATATTGTTTTGGCAATACATTAAAAGATGATTGTGTAATTACAAAATGAATAATAATTACATTTGCAAAACAATCACCATATATATGTAAATATAATTTATGGAACACCCACTGTGAAGCAAACAGAACAGAGGAAACACTTCAGCCACGCTACAATACCACAACAGAGCCATCATGGAATGAGGCAGTTCATAAAAAAATCAATCTTATCAACATATGAAAAGCAAATTACAAGCTTCAGGTATTTCAGTTAAAAGAAAGCAGAAGGAATTGAAAACAAAGATTAAAATTTGGTAACTTCTGAATGCCCCTTTCAAGACAGTTTACATTTACACATGACAAGGTTAGAATAATTGTGGATTCATCACAAATTCACATTTCAAATACTTCAAATTCATCAAGACTCATAATAAATCCACACAGGATTTGATAAACAAGAATAAGGATGATACAAGGCAATATATGGACAAAATAACTAACTAACATATCTGAACTGGAAAGTTGCTGTTGCTAGCGCTGACTTCCAAATCCATGTTGGCGCATGTGTAAAAAAACAGCCAGCATATAATACATGATGCCCAATGAAACTTTCAGAATTTTAACGTTGACAGGGACTCTGCCTTCTGTGTACCAACACTGCAGTAAGAGAAAGATAAACTGGTTGTTAATTGTTAATGATGTTAGGAATTCGCCATGGTATACTGTACTTATACAGTTTTTGAAGTCCTGCTCATCCGAGTAATATATGTATAGTGTGAGTCCTACATGTCAAAACAGGATAATAGGTTAACTCCATTCTGTGATCCTTATAATTGCTAAAATCATTTAATCGAGCAGAGACATAATCTGTGAATACTTTTGAATTCCACTTAGAATGCACATAATTTACATAACCAAGGTTTTTTAAGCAGACTGACACTGGAATTAATAAGTCCATCATGAAAAATGGAAAAGAGTATATCTCCATATTAAAAAAAAGAGAGAGAGAGAGAAAGAAAGGAAAAAAGATAATACATTTGACATTTCCACAGACACTGTCCAGCAGTGCTGTGCAACCCTTCCAAGCCATCAGCACAATAAATTTGCCATAAGTACTTCAAAGATAGTGAGAATGGTCAAACACTGAAGCATTATGAAAACTGTGCATATGAATTGAAGGAAATACCCAAGAGGAAGACCAATATGAAGATAGGAACAGCAGATCAGGAAACATGTCACATAGGACATGAGAGGAAAATGAGGGGAAGACAGATATAGGCTTTGTTGTTAGAACCTCAAAAATATGGCAACACTGAAGGAAGCAGATGGTTGTGAAACTTGAAGAAAATAAATTAAAGCATTTGAAAATAAACTGTCATAGAAAAGGACTAGAGGTATACAGAACGTAGACAACTAAGAACCAGAAGATCTTTTCTATCCTAACAGAAGAATGTAGGCATGCATGGAAGAACACACTGGAAAACTGATCTTTTGTGCTATGCAAGAAATCAATGACTTCATTTCTTTGTGGGGGGATACAGGCAACAGGTTGCAAAAATGAACAATATATTTCCCTTAACCAGTCAGTGTGAAGCACTGAGCCACCATAAAGTGCCATGCATTGCATGACTGTCCATAATTTCTGTTTCCATCTCACAAATACTGTTAAAAAAAATCTGCTTCCATATTCTTTGAGATAAAGGCTGATGCTTTGGTGTGTTGACCAGATTTATCAGTGTTTCTCTGAACAAATGATTTTGGAAATGTTAGCTGTAAATCAGCTGTAATACTGACATCACTGCTGGTCCTTTAACTGCCAAATCCTTCTTTTATAATTACATTGTGTCTAAGAAACACATTCAAGTCACCCAAGAATTCTCAGGTTTGAACCTTCACCACATTGTTACAGTGTACCTATCAATTCAGAGTAAAGCATTTCTGAATAGGTTATCAGACGCAATTAAAATGTTCTTCCAAATTCTAACCCCATATATGTCTGAAACAAGCAGCATGATTTTAATATAGCACTACAATTTTTAAAATGTAAAAGGTGGGTGGGGAGGGAGCTCATATGCAAAGGTAAACATTACTTCTCAAAGCCTTATTACAAGAGGACTATCAGGTTATTCACAGAAATTATATCTAGTATAAGGATTCTGAAAAGATATGTAGTCCTTGAAAAGAGGAGACAAACCATCATTAAGTGTGCAGGTCTGCATAACACTGACTTGCAGGAAATCAAGTAAGATGTGCTGTTTATCAGATGAGTATCTCACAAAACATGAGAACATGTATGTACAATACTCTTCTAATATTTACAAGGCATAAAATTGCTCCACTTAATGTACTTCTCCCATTTGTAACATGAATGGAAAAAATTAAATTTTCATGTACAGCACTGTAATACAGCTCTTTTTAAGAGGAGTGTGATAAATATGGGAATTAGTTTGTATAATAAAGTCCCCAATCAAATAAAACAAAGGGAAAATTTTAACTCATTTAAAAAGGAATTAAAATCTTTTTTGCTGAAACATTCCTTTTATTCTGTAGATGAATTTATGTCTTTTGATTCATCAAGTGTGTAAATGTAATATGTAGCTGATTAATTTGTTGTATTTTGTGTAAAGACAATGAAATTAATGGTAATTAGATCTAGATAATATTATTCAGATGACAAACCCCCTATATTAGGGTGGTACAGTGTATTCTGTAAAGATACGCACAAGAATCTGACAATTTCCCTATCCAAATGGTTGTAATACCTGTATGTATGGATTGTTGAATGATAATAAAAATGAAATGAAATGTGTGCATGCCCTCAACACAAGAGATTGGAAAATATCACTACTCAGTAACCAAGATATGTGTATATGAGAGTGTTTATATACTGTTCTGAACTTTGCCCTTGCAAGAAATCTAGTCTATGCAATGGTTTACTTGGTAACACAACCTCTTGCCACAGACAGGAATAAAAGCAAATTCTGATTTAACCCTTTAAAGACCAAATTTCTTCTAAAGAATGCATAAAAATCCAGTCTGTGCCTCTCAGAAAACACATTACACCTCCATTACAAACATTAAGAGATTAATTCTCTTTAGGGAAACAAACAGTGGTTACTGTAAGTACTATATACTATAATACACAAATACATTCTTTGGGCAGAATGTTGAGTTTACTATTGTGATGAGAGATTGGAAAACTGGAATAGTGGAACCAGAGAGGTGCTGTGGAGATGACCACTGCTAGGCAATGGCTCAGTAAACACGTTCCCATGGCCAGGGAGTACACATAAAACAATAAAGGACCTGCTGGAGGCAGCATTCTATATTGGGTTCGACCTGAAGTTATATAAGGACTGAGTGAAAACAAGAATGACCGTCTTGGCAAAGGCCAGCAATAAATCACCTGACTGACCAAGAGGACTGTGGTTAGCAGCCACGAGCCAGTGAGGACAGGAGCTGTTGAGCACAGAAGCCATAAAGGGAATCCCCACTGTTAAAAAGCAGCTACCATGCAATGAGTAATGAAGAAAAAGCAGTTGGTTGCAGCTGTAGTTACTCCTATATTCTGTAGATTAGCGAGTGTGTTATTATTTGTAGTTATAAGTAACAGGCTCATTAAATTGAAAAATCAGTCCAAACCCCTTGTCTAGTCATTAACAATTAACAGTATGTTGAAATAAGTGGAACATATAGGAGCCACTGGACTTTTTTTAAAATTAGCTGAGTGGGGGGTGGAGTCCAACTGGGTCCACTCGACACAGCAGCCACTGATTGGCCTATTGTAGCCTGCCCCATGTGATTATGATGATGGAGAATTTGGTGCAATGAAGATCGGCAGTGGAAACCAAAGTACTCGGAGAAAACCCGCCCCAGCACCGCTTTGTCCACCACAAATCCAACTTGACCAGACCAGCGATCGAACCCAGGTCGCCACAGTGGGAAGCCAGCGACTACCACTTGAGCTGTGTCGCGGCCATGGCCACTGGACTTTAAATGGTTAGTATATTTCATCCAGGAACAAGGAATTTAAATCTCCTGCTACTATGGCATTTGGTGGCTGGTCTGTGCATAAACTGTCATAGACGTGTGAAGCACAGACTGAGCAGTTTTACATGGAGCTGCAACTAACAAGTATATGCTTTTGAAGAAGATATACCTTAACTTCCACTGATACGCGAAAAGCTACTAATTCATTTCAGTAACATGTCACTTCCATGTTTTCTCCCTCACATTTTTCCTATCTCACTGGCCTGCAAAGCAAAGATCTGAACAGTATGTAACGTACTTCGGTAGGCTATGAGGTTCTTACAGCAGTGGTTATGAAGAGTTCTTTCTTGTAGTCCGTTGAAAGTCAACTGTTTTGTTGGAACTTGTCACCTCTGTCTTCAGGGTAGTTTCTTGTTTGGCTTGACATGGAGGCAACATATTGTGATGTGCTGCCCAAAAGCCGGACTACGGAGCATATTACAGCATTCACTGCTGGTCAATGAATAACATTTCCTAGATAGCGGAATGGAATGCAGCATTGGAATTCTAACAATGAGTTTCCACGGTTGCAACAAATTGTTTGAAGCGTTGTATGACAATGGGAAAACCAAACTGTTGAGAAATGTGTTCCATAAGCAGTCTGCAAAAGGCCTATTTAAGGGGGTTGAATGTACCAGACAGACAGTTGAGTTCTATAAGTTGCCAAGAACAGTTCAATTTGCATTTGATACTGAAAGTGATAATAACTGTACTCGCTAGCGTAAAAGTGAGTGTTCAATAAACATATTCGCCAAATCCAAGACCTGTGTGAATCTATATGTCGCATTACATAGGCAATATGCAACAATATTTCTCTGAAATGTTGACTTTCAATGGACAGCACAGCATTCCATCCCAGAAAAAGAACTCTTCATACCTCTTTTCACTGAAGAATAGTAACTCCTACCACATCTCTATCAATTTTGTTTAAGATGTACTCTAGAACATCTCAATTCATATTGATTCATTAATAATTCCAATTATCATTATACAACAGCATGTGGACATTTAAAAATGTCGAAACTTTACGTTGAGACATGCACACTGAGATGTATTTATTCCTAAAAGCAGCATGGCTTCTGCCTCCTCTATTCAGTTCATTTCAGCCCTGTTTGTTCGCTCTCTTTATGTTCTATATTTATAGATATAATTTAATGAAATATTTTAAAAAATGAACACAAAGAATGATTTGCAGGGGATGGCATGTCACGATCACCTCCGCTTCCGGTCAGACCAGGTGCTCCAATGCATGCCCGAACGGGGTAGACTTTTGCGTAGAGATGCTCTTCTGTTGGCTTGAAATGACGCAATAGGCCTTTTCAAGATGTCACTTGACAGTGAGAGACCCTTTTTTGAAACAGGAAGAGAAGTACTGGGGGGTGAGGAAGACAGGGTAGAGCTTCGTAGTCGACGATTGTTGGAAATCCCAGCAATCAAGTATGATGAGGAGGATGACACTGGCAAACTGGCTACCGTAACACCAGCGATATCTGGTATCTTGGTGACCCTGACACATGGCTGGTACTCCAACAAACTGTGACCACCACCTGAATCCAAACTGCCTGTCCTTGACAGAGCAGACACTCGCTTTTCCTGGATAACTGAAGGTTCACTGGCAGAACTTTTAACCACTTTGCCTCCATGACCTTCCTTATACACTTCTAGTCTGTCAGACCTTCTGTCAGACTTATTGTAACACTCCACGGTCTCAACTGTGCCTTCCTCAATTCTACCACCACAATCTTCATTCACTCCACTTGCAGTTGCAATATTTTCTTCAGCTGATGAGTACAATTTATTTGAGACATTCACACACTTCCCGCTTGCATCACTTGACACGACACTCTCATCAACCCTATTTAATTTACTTATTAGTCTTCTCTTTCCTCTCTGTTTATCTGCTGGCCATCCTGTAAGGTTTTTCTTTCGCTTCCTCTTCCTCCCACGTATTCGCATGATCCTTCCGTCAGGACCATCTGAGAAGGTTATGGTCTCGCACGTTGATGAAGCTCCACATTCTGAACTGTTGCATGATGATTCACCCAGAAGCGATAAGTTACTCAGGCATCCTGTGGGGTCCTTGTTAATTACTGCAGGCTCTTCCATGCACTGACATGAGGAAAACTCCTCTAGGAGAGTCACAACATCCACTTTAGGTCCACCACGACATCGATGTTCATTGTGTTCAAGCGGGTTTACCACCGAATGCTCAACAGTCAGCTCATCTAACACTGTGGGATCTATCTCCAGTATTTCATGCTGTTTAATCAAGTGGAAATCTAACTTTTTTGCTTTAGAAGCAGGCCACTTCCTATTCTGATGCTGAACGTTTTTCTTCACAGAATGTGGTTTACGATTCTTATTATCAATAAGCTTTTGGGACATATTCGTCTCCAGTTTTGATTCATCGCCACTTGCATCAAGGTCACTGCCACTAACTTCTTCTCCTTCACTTCCCAAACTGAGCATCTTGTCTATATTTCTTGCAGTCTCATGAAGGTCTGCACTGGATTCTGACTTGAAGTCTGAATTCACTGCTGGTTCCACCGCCACAGGCTGTGACAGAGCAGCCACAGGAGATGTGGCAGGGGATGCATCGGGTGCACTTACAGTAATACCTGGTGCATCTCTGCTAGAACTGTCCTCTTCAGCAGAGTTGACAGCAGCTGTTTCAGATCTATGTGTCCCTTCTTTGAGTTTACCTGGTTCTTTTCTTCTTCTGTGATGCATCAGACTTGAGAGAATTGCTAAAGTTGAAGCATGACATCTAGGAGACTTCCTAGGCTTTTTGTCCACCAAGTGAGCAAACCTATTACGCCTTTTTCTTATGAAACCACAAGGTCCTGCTCCACCTCCCGGACAACCGCTGCCAGATGCAAGACCTTCAGCTGAAGGCATTTCATATGGTAACAGAAACGGTTTCCAGTAACAGGAGTCACTCATACAAGAATATGCATAAAATTCCTGCCCTTCATCCTGCCGCGTGTATGTCTGATACCAGGGTTCACTTTGTGGAACAACTTCAAATGAGAAATGAAGTCTCTCCATGGCTGCTGGTAACTCATTTTCCACAGCTTCTCTTACGTTTGGTTCATCCCGTTCTTCCTTCTTCCTGTCATCCTCCTCCTCCTCCTGTTTCTTTCCAATCTTGCTTTCATCTTCTCCAGCAGCCTTCTGTTTCGATTCTTCCTCACTATGAACAATTTTTTCTTTCTCATTTGTTACTTCATTGCTACATGTCACAACTTTGGAGTGTGCACCATTACACAAGGCTTTCCCCCCCTTAGAAGCCGAATCTGTCTTCGAGCAGTTTGGCGCACCTGGCACATCCTTGCTTTCAGTATTGTCCCTGTTGCTGTTAGAGGTAGCCTTATTTTCAATAGGAGACACAGTGGGGGGAAGTATGCTTCCTTGAAAACGAAGTCGGGAACCAGGAATCTCAAACTTGTAATAATCCAGATTGTCATGTATGAAAGCTTCAGCATGAGTTCGCCTTTTCCTCCTTTGCCGAGCTGCACTGCTTGTATCACAACTGCTGGCCAGGCTGCAGGTGTCCATGGAGCACACTGAACTTTCATCGCACTGTAACATGTTACATGAATTCCCATCTTCACCATCGATCTTCGACTGTACCACAGGAGATGCAATGCTTGGATGCTCTCGCGTGACACCATCATCTTCCTTTATTTTTACACTCTTTTTACTGTCACACACTCGCTTTCCACTGGACTCCTCCACCACACTTTCCTTCTTCAAATTCTTATTCAACTTACTTTTGCTTTCTTCTTCTTCTTCCTCCTCCTCTTCCTCAGACAATTCGGTAGAGCTGTTGCGCCGTACAGGTTCACCGAACATGAAACTTTCTGCTTCATCACTCAGTAATGCAAGTTCACTTTTCCTAACTCTCTGGAACTTCACAGAATTTGTTTCTTCCACCTTAGTTCCTTCTTGACCCTGTTCCCCGTTACACTTTACACTATTCGATATCTTCTGCAGAAGGCTTGGCTCCACTTTCTCTTCTTTCACTTCAGTTTTGAATGGCATTTCAATCTCTCTTTGGCTCGGGAAATACCCACTTGATCGCAGCTTACTGTTCTTTAACTCTAACTTATAATATGCCTTATTGTCCTCAATCAGTTTCTCCTCCACCGATAATCGTTTCCTTCTAATCACCTGACTATTTCCACTCCTGCACAACGTAGGTTTCACCTCCTCCTTGACAACTGGACCTGTCTTGCCCTTGTCTTCATTACTTGCCAGAGCGATATCTCGAGAGGTTCGGGCAGGCTGCGGGTCGGCAGAAGTGTGACCAAGGCGTGTTCGTGCAGGGTTACCCTCATCTTCTGCAGTTGTTCCCAGCAGATTGCTGGGAAGCCAGAGTTGCCCACGGGAGCGCAAGTGGTGACCTGAGTCACTGCCTGTTGGGGACAGCTGCTGCTGAAGAGAAGGAGAGGAGTTGCTGCAAAATGAAGCTGATGCTCGCCTCACACGCTGGGGCCTGCCGCCTCCTCCCCCTTGAATTTCCCACTGCTCACGTCGCACACTGTTCCCAGATATAGGGCTCTTCATTCCGCCATGCCTAGTATCATAGCAATGGCTCCAGATGCCGTTGCACTGTACACGTACCTGCAAACATATTACAGTTACATCTCACTAGTATATCCTCAACACAAAGTACTTCATATTCAAACAGCAAAAAGAAAAATAAAAGAATAAGTATTATTATTATTTAACCCTCTTTCAGGACATTTTAGTTTCCATCTTGGTGATCTGTAATCTTGCCAAAAGCAAGGTTTCTTCTCTTCAAAGACACAAATGGAACACACTATGTGAAACAGAATGTTACACCGAAAGGTACAGATTGATCAAGTACCTACTATATTATTTTCCATAGTTCAATTCCTCTTAATTTGTTCTACAAACATGATGAAATACAACAAAAATATTACAATATTACAAAGATTATCAAAATTTGTATTCAGTAATGAATTTTAGCATACAAAATGGCACTTGACAGAAAAATGTCTATAGTATGTACACAGGATTTGGGAAGCAATTAATAAAATATACTGCAGTGTGTAGAACTGTTACTGGGTAACGACCTTAAACATACGACAAAAAAACATTCACTGCTAGACAACAGATTTTTTAATAAGCAACAATCTGTGGCCGTTACTGGGTAACACCTTTGCAAACATGTTCCCACGGAAACATTTGAAGCAACGCTAGAAGAGCTGTGTTTTCCACTGGTCTGTGCCAATGGGTTATAAGGCCAAATGAAGCAAGAATTCAGAATTGTGCAGGAGACTGACTGTTGCAGTTGAAGAATCTCCATTGGTAAGATCCACTGCTGGGAAACAGCTAGTGAAAGCAGACTGAAAAGGTTTAGCGTGTGGTGCAGTTATTGGTAAAGTTTGGAAATTAGCAACAATGTCATACTTATCTTGGACCTGTAAGTGGTCAATAAATCCAAACTCCGATCCCAAACCCCGTCAAAAGTCAGTCTAACACATGACAACACTATGACATGAAGCCTGACAGCTAGAATAAGAGAGACAGAGAAAGCCATAGATAGGTAACAGCTGTGTAAACATGCAATATCAGAGCCATCGCCAAGTAACACCTGCACGTAACAATGGAGGAACTGCTGGAAGCAACTTTTTCTATGCAGTCCACACTAATGCTATGTACATAAGGAGTGAGTTTTTGAGTTGTGAGTTAGTTGAGGCCAGGAGCTGGTAGCTAAAGGAAGTACCAGCTGTAGCTGGTAGTCAGAGTATGAGGTTGGCATGACACAATTTCCAGATTGTGAGGAAGTGAGCCCCAAAGCAGAGGAACATCTGCCAGTGGAAGCTGTTAAAATGTGATGTGAGTGAGGACACTAGTCTATGTGTGACTGATCTGTAAAGTGTAGTCAAGTTACTAACCCAAAACCTGTCCAGTCACTCAGTCACGTGACAATATGTTAATTCCAATTACTCTGTAACTATAGTCCCCTCTATATGAATGGTTTGTATGTGAGCTTTTCTGTATATGGGGTCCAGCAGTTTGGTATCAGGACTGCTGAGGGGCAGCACCTATACATCATGGGCCTCCCAGAAAATGTCATGAGTACAAAATGTGAACTGGAATCCTCCCGCTGCATACTCAATGGCCAGCTTTGGCTAGGCACAGACTAGAGAACTGTTCTGCATGGTTAGAGGTGACGCAGGAGGGTCTCAGCCCTAGCATTATAGTCAGGGCTCTCTGAAGGGCCATAACAGAATCACAGGCACATGAAGTGACTCAGCAGTGGTCTTAGTGCTCAGGGTGACTGAAATAATTATCCAACTGCAGTCAATATTAACACCAATACAGTTTCCATAACTGGACTTAAATTTCTGGTTTCTCTACTGCTGATGTAACTTATGGACAAATGGACAAAGTCCAAAAGAAAAAATTAAGCAAAGATTTACAGTCTCTGGTGATGTGGCTCTGTACTGTTTGGTAGTTCCACAGTGAAATGCATGGTGACACATCCTAGAGATCTGTAATCTTGACAGTGAGCCGCATGGAAGCCTCTAATCTCATATGAGAACAAACATATAAAAAAATTAAACTGCAACCATGCTGTTCTCTTGTAAAACTGGGGCATGTAACAAATGTCGCTCGACAGGATAAAGTTACCGAGGAATTAGCTGCAAAGAGTGGTCCTAATCTGGAGGAAAATAATTTTTGCTAACGTGTCTGTAGTTAGTAGCAAAACACTACATAAATTTAAAACTATTTGGTGATGGTGTAACACAACATCTAAGGCTATTTATTTGCATTTTGTCTACTGACTTAGTCCTTTATACAAAACAACTTATGGAAATGTGTTCTATTCACAACTTCAACTGAAAAGAATATGAGAGAGTCCTATTCTGTTGTGTCCCTAGGTAGAGATACTCTAATGCCGTCAAGGATATCCTGTCCACCTGACAATGGAAGCAGAACCAGTTTCCAAAATATAGTTTTTATAAGAGAAGTCAGATGATGGACAAAGTTTAAATAAATGACCTTTAAAAAATGAGCCAGTAAACATGCCATAAATGGAAGTACTACAGCTGTAATGGACATAATGGGGTTTCTATGTTTATCACTAGGTAGCAGCACAGTCCAAATTCATGAGGCTAGGTATCAAATATGCATGCACATCTTCAGAGGCTGGTTTCAGTAATCAAAATGCTTGAAAAGTTGTACTATCGAAGAGCAGCGCTGTTTGTGCGGTTTTTATGGGCAAAAGGACTCGATGCAAAGAATAATAATAAAGAAAGGTTTCATATTTATGGTGGTAAGTGTTTGTCAAGTAAAGCGGTTTACAAGCGGGTCAAGTAATGTGGGAAATGTTTCGCTGATGATGAGGTTGAAAAGGAGGTGCAGAAGTGCCTGAGACAATAGTCAAAAGACTTCCACGCTGCAGGTTTCGATGTACTGGTAAAGCAATGGGACAAGTGTATCAATGTTGGTGGATGATATGTCAAGAAATACATTCTTTCCCCAGAATCGAATATTGCATGTTTTACATTTTATATCCATTTGTGACCTATTTAGTGACTCTCCCTTGTTTCAGACATTACCACAAAAAGGCAGGTTATGTATCAGTAACAGTGCTGATGTTGTACAAACAGGAAAAAGCACAAATGTTCACAGACATTCCCCCAGACTCCAGATATTAAATATTTCAATCATATGGATCAGTTTCTTTCATCATATGTAATATATTACATAACTCAAGTCAGTACAGTGACCAATGTGCATGCTGGAGAACCAAAGAATCATATTTTGGGTCCCATGATGGGAAGCAATTTCTCTCTTCTCTACAGCGTCCAGAACGGCTTTATGATCCACCCAGCCTCCTAGACAATAAGTACCAGAGGCTCTTTCCCCACAGATAAAGTGACTGAGGCCTGGGGCTGACCACTCACTTCCATCTAATGCTGTGGCTATCAATGTGTGGAGCTGTACCTCCACTTCCTGACATATCTTCATGAAGTGGTGATTAAACAAGCAAGAAAGACAGGGAATCAAGGAACATTCTATCAGTACCTCCAAGCTCTCTTTCTGTTGCAGCAACATTTTATCTTTTTCTTCCAGTGATGGCTTTACACTCGATGAGCGAATGGCATGATGTCCATTTGTGTTGGAAATTGGAGGTGGCTTCCTTGATGTTGGAGAAAGTGGTTGTTCACTTTCTTTCCACAGAGTTGGGGAGGAAATGGAGGTTGATGTATCAAAAGAAAATGTATGCAGCTTCACCACGCTGCGCAAAGAACGACGACTATGGGCACTCAACTCTCCTGGGCACGGGCTGTAACAAGTGCCATTCAAGTGTTTCATTAGTCTAAAGTTTCCCTTTTATTATCTCAGCTTCATTGTTTTAAATAAATTAATTTTTACTTTTATTCCAGCTATAAGAATATATCCTGCAATGCATTAAGATTTTTCACAATATTATGCATTTGCTACTTGGAAAATTAATTACACATTAAACCTGACATCCTGCACATAGTCACTACAAACTGCCTAACAATATCCAGTCATATTTCTGGGGCTGGCAGAGGTGAACAACACAGCATCAACTGGGTGCATTTCATATTGTCTCCTGGGCGCTGAGTCTACACTTGGGTCTCATACACCATGATGGCAGTGCTGCCAACATTTTGGAGGTAGATGCTGTCCCTAGAGATGGAAGTAGCATATGCCTCGGAAACACCAGCAACGCACTCCACATTCACATGGTGCAAAAACACAGGAAGAGAATAAACACCAAAAGCAGTGTGAAATCCTACAATCAGTAAATGTGGTGCCTTATGCAAAATAATAGTCTTACATGTCACCCTGCCAGCCCCCACAGCTATATTCAAATGACAGGTCCATACTGTTCCGGATTCATCTCACTGCTATGTTTTCGCTGGTGAAAGAAGAGCCACAGAAGAGGTGATGGCTACCATGTTTTAGTGACAAGTGAAAATACTAGCACTAAATGCAAACTTCTTGGAGGCTGTTTGGACACAGTGGCCAGTCAGTGTTAGGTGACAATAGGTTAATGAAGAATTGCAAGCAAATGTAACAGATTTAGTATGATGATTATAAATGTTATGTCAGCACCTTGCTTGTCACAAATGAACCTGACCAACAGACACAGTGGAAGACCAATGTGCAACCCCATGTGTATGATTTACTGACCTGTTCCTACTAGTCTTGGTCTTGAACCAACAGTGTTCCAAAAAACTAATGCCAATTTTCCCTTCAGTAACTCACACTGTGCTTCACTATGGAACACTGTTAGTTGCTTCAAGACCAAGACTAGTAGGAAAAGGTCAGTAAATCATACACATGGGGTTGCACATTGGTCTTCCCCTGTCACCATTGGTCAGGTACTGACCACAGGTAAAAACTTGTAACATTTAAAATCATCATACACGTGGAACACTATGTTCTATAAAATTTATTAAAAGTTTGTCACTGCATGTTTTGACCAGTACAGTCATAATAAGGTGTTAAAATTATTTAACAAGGAAACTGTTGTCTTCATTAAGACCCCTCGATGCGCATACGTGTTTCAGTTGGTGGGATGCATTCTCTCGTGTTGTGTTGTGCTGATCGAAAACAAGACACTCAGCACAACACACAACAGGAGGAAATACAACCCACCAACTAAAACACACATGCGCATCAAGGGACTTACACATTAACATAAAGAAGACAGCACTTTCCTCGCTCAATAATTTTAACACCTGATGATGACCATACTGGTCAAAACATGTAGTAACAAACTTTTAAAGTAAATACCTTTTAATAAATTTTATAGAACATAGTGCTGCATGTGAGACTGTAAAAAAAACTAAAAGACACTAAGTGGAAAGTGCAACAAGATGCTACATCATAATATTTTGGCTTAATATTATAACCATACAGTTCCCTTGTGGACTAAGACGACAGAGTTTAGTTTCAGTTTAGTTTATTGTAACCCTGGTAAGGATGTGTGACAATAAATTTATTCCTGATAACTTTCATGTACTGAATACTTAAGAGTACTGCCAGAAGTTATGGACACAGGTGTGTCACCGTAAGATAATTTACTGTCTCCTTCGACGTGACACTGTGTAGTGTTGTAAATAGTTACTGACATTTCAGAGCAGCATACGGCCCCCATATTCAGGATAGAAGAGTAAGCTGATCATGGAAAAAAATGGTACCATACTTTTACCTGAAGACCGAAGCAGCATATCTTCTGAAAATATAATATTACATAATGCAACATCCAAAAAGACAGCTGTCTTCAAGGTCATTAAAATGAGAACCTCAAGTCTCACCATAATAATCTGTAACATGGTGATATGGAAGAATTTAGACAGGAGGCTTTCTTAAACAGTTTGCCTGAAATCTTTAGTATCTGTTAAGTACATAGTGCTACAATAAGTGGAAAACTGATACCTGAAACCTAGTACCATTTAAACATCAAAACAATTATTCTAAAATTAACAGATGACCAAACGTAATGATTTAATTCACTATATATAAATCACATACCATAACCGTAAAACCAATATTCTGACGCTCTTCATTTTTCCTGCCATAATGATAACACTTCAGAAATCTAGCATAATATAAGATGTGTATCTGAAAACTCATGAGTTCATAATCACTGATCATGAGCTATACTAACTGTAGTACAGATTCCATTATTTCACAGAAAAATTGTGATCTAATAATATCCATCATTCCAGCTTCCTGAAACATAATGTGCATACAGCTAGTGTCCGGAGCAGGAGCCATTACGGCAATATGCATTCACAAGATTCATGTAACACCATCAACAGATTAACCGTAAGATGCATCCTCTGACACATACAGCTCCTGTGATGTCGGCACCATCATACAACAAGATTGGTCACTTACATAACTTGGTCTGGAGGCCAACCATACATACAAAGGCTGACAGTGACAAAAGAAATGTCCTGTAAATTAACTTCGTTAACACCCCAGGTAAAAAGACAAACACAATCAGAGAAAAAAATAAAGCGTATTATAAGAACTACTCTTACCTTCACATGAAGAATAGTGTCTTCTAAGATGTGACACCATGTAGTCTGCTAGATCATTATCAGTGATTTGAAGGAACTTGGTGCCTCCATCCTCAGGGCAGAAGATGGAGGGAGCAGGTTCCTCTGAAAAACTGGTACAGTCTATCACCCTACACTGCATCACATCCCAGATACTGGTAATTTTCATAGCCATCACCTTCAGAGCCTCATATTTTCCTATCTTAATATATTTCAACCGTAGCAGTTTATTGTAGAAATAGAATTTAGTAAGGGCATACTTTATATTAAAAATTAGGTCTCAGTTCTAATAAAATACGCTTTAATGTACCTCTAATTTCAATTCAATGCTGTGCCAGAGAATTAATGAAAGAGAAACGTATGGCTTCAAGTGACACTGCAGATATACAAAATAAACTGTGCTGTAGAAACTTCGCAGGGTTTACCTACCCAGTTGCTGAGAAGAAGCTAGTGATCTCATGTGCTAAGATGTCATCTGCAGCCAATCAGATGATGCTGATGTCGGGTAAATGCAGACCTTGATACAGTAAAAATAAATATGTACGAATGTTTGTTGTGTACTATCATTCTTACTTCACTGAAATTTAATGGAACACCACAGTTTTCCCTTTTTAATTTTAGAAACTCAAGAAAAAAATCTTTAACACTGAACAACAAACATAGTATGCTTGTCAGGGCATTCTACTCAAAAGATATATGTATGGTATATACCTTTCTTCCATATTTTTTAAATATTTTATGCAAATGATCAGTACACACACGGCATGCAGTAATACTCCTTTACAAAAATGAGTTGTATATACTACACTTTAATGATGAACCTGATTAAGTTCCGAGAAAGCATATCACGTGTTCTAAATTACCATTCAATTTATTTTTAAACAAGGCTTTTTATGGTGAGGGGTTGTCAGTCTCTAGCTCAATCTCTAAGTTAGAGGACCACCACTTGTTGTCTGTTAACTGCTTATTCAGTATATCTGCACCTACCATCCACACATGACAGTCCTCTGCTCCATCCACAACCTGTGGGCTTGCCATGCCGTGGTGACAAGACTTAACAACACTACCAAACACCAACCATCTTACAACATGTCGGATTAAGGATCTAGATTTTCTCTAGACTTCCTTGTTCCACCAATAAACTGTCAACCATTTAGTTCACAGCGACAGTCAACTCCCGCATTATGCATCTGATGTCTAAGCCTCTCCTAATATGACCATCGGTATGTGAACGTTTCAAAATATAGACTTACTTAAATTTAAGTAAACAGAATAATTAAATCAAGAGTAGTCTTCTGAGATGTGACACCATATAGTTTGGTAGACAAGTACCAATGTTTTGGAGGTACCTGTTGCTCCCACCTCTACGGTCTGCTCTTCTACTCCAAAGACGGAGGCAGCAGGTGCCTCCAAATCAATGGCAACTACCGTATTTACGCATGTATAGGCCGCGTGCATGTATAGACTGCAGCACAATTTTCAGACAGAAATTATAGAAAAAATAATTTTCTTGGAATCTTATTTCAGGAGTAGAAATTATTCCAAAATTTGGCAATGTTTAACATTTTAAATGAAGTGTGATTTCGAATATTTCGAATATAAGCCGCACCCCAGTTTTACTCTTGAATTTTTGGCAAAAAATGTGCGGCCTATACATGCGTAAATACAGTATCTGCTAAACTATGCGCTGTCACATCTGCAATCCTGATATCCAAACTGAGTACTATAACAATGCTGTCGAAGGGGAATTTATGCTGTAATGAAAATTAAATTAAAAGTGTATAACTTTGCATTCATATGTAATGGAGATCACAGAAATGCACATTGCCTTAAAAATATTAGTTTCCTGAGAGCAGCACAGAAGAAAATGTTTGATATTTCAGAGCTACATGTGCTGCCAGGTTGCAGTTTTCTCCAAACAGCAGATCATCAATTCTCCAATTTATTTCTGTGCTGATGCAGTTGTAAGCTACTGTAACACAGATGCACAACTTACTGCATGTGGAATTTGTTGCAGCAATGTTTGCTTCTTATGACATCTTTGGAATGGCCTGTATATAAAAAAAAGGGTGGTGCGTGACAAGAACGACAGAAACATACATTTTTTGTCAAAATGACTGACAGCATCTAAAACAAAAAGCACTCAGTGGCCATCAATGCTTGAAAGTCCTATGTGATACAGAAAACTTGCATTTTTTATTGAATTCTGTATTAACTGAATATAAATACTCAACACTGTTAACACCAAACTCTAATACTGGACACAAAACTGTTCAGCTCACTGATTATACTGACGTTCAACTGTGCACTGTTCTCATCTATGCCTGTTCTTACAGAACTTGTATCTCCACCAATACAGATACCAGATTTGTTGAATGGATGTCATTCTCAAACATAGTCCACAAATTCTGAATGCTGTAACAAGTTAATGACACTCTTATACACAGCTAACATAAAGAATGATAGCAATCTGTACTACACAGAAAAAACTTTGGGGATCATGTTTTACCTTGGAGAAAACTGCAGCCAGTATCTTGAACAGCTGTAGAACTTCAAATTTTACAGCTAATTTCTATTAGGTACAACAATTGTGGTCATTATATATAGATACACAAAGAGCTAAGTACCTTATTTGATTTGCTCCATTAAGCTTAAGGAAAGTTTCCATCGTCGGCCCTCGACTGATGAGCTGATCCAATGAGATGAAGTTATCTTTGTTCCCTATAAACTGTGTGTGGCGATCACTCTGAAGATGTCTCTTCTGATCTACAAAGGTTAACTGACATATTTCACAGTAGCCTGACACAACGGTAGAATTCTGTATTGCCACTGCAGTATCATTCCCTCGGTGAAAACGACCATGAGCCTTCCGAGTCATTCTGCAACACCAAGCCGCATTTCAAACGATAATCATGCATTCAAAGAATCGTGACAGGGAAGGCAGATCTCTCCTACATCATATTATCTCTAGATGTCTGGCCCAAATACAGGCTATTATAGCACAACAAAATGATACACGACTGAAATGGCACTCAGTGTTAGTGATATCTGTTAGCTTCATACTCATGCACCCAAGAAAATAACATCTCACTTTATCCTTAACATTGTGGTGTATCTGCTCCATGCAAGAACTGTGGAGCCATACAAAAAGCCATTAATACGTAATACAAGCATGAAACAACAGAAAGGCTGTATTTTCTATTTGGTCTGTACTGCGACTGTTGTTATGCAATGGTCCAGTAAACATGCCTCTACAACAAAGGAGCTGCTTTCTGCGTGGTCCGTGCTGAGGACATACATTGAAGATAACTGGCACTACAGTGCAGCTAAGAGGTGAGGGTTCAGTCATGGTGTGTTAACCTGTCGGCAACGGAAGGTGAAGAATCTCCATTGATAAGATTTGTTAGCAGGAAATGTCTAGTGAAGGTGTTGCAGAGGAACAGCCATTGTGGAGAGCTGTTACCAAGTAGACTGAGAAGACTTAGTGTGGAGTGACTCGTAGTGTGCATATCAGCAACAGTGTTAACAGTTATTTGCAGTTATGACCTGTAAGAGGTCACTAAATCTATTCACTAATCCAAACCCCATCTATAGTCACTATTTTTTTTTTCATTGGCACTACAGCCCTCACTGGGGCCTAGGCCTACCTCCATGAAACTCTCCGTTTCACTTCAGTTTAATAGATCTTAGAAATGCGGTAGGACTCCTTGGGCGGGTGATGAGCTCGTCGCAAGGCCTCTACCTGTACACAAACACACAGAAATGCACACAAACATCCATGCCCTGAGTGGGATTAGACCCACGATCCCGGCTTCCAAGCGAGCGAAGACAATACATGCCTTAGACCGCTCGGCTACTGTGACCGGCATAGTCACTGATACAGATGACAATATAAATTAAAACAGAATACATGGGAACACCCTGTCTGCTGTTTCACTTAAAAAACATTAAAATGTTTACATACAAATCACCACAAATAAAAAAGTTTGCTGATGCAGTAGATGAGGAAAATGGACAAGGTTTGAAAAGACATAAAAAATCATATACAAACAAACCTCGGGGTGTCCAATGGATGTTTTGTTGAATGTGCCGCATCTTTTGCTTCATTTCCCTCCTTTGATTGTTTTGCTGTATGCTGCACCTTCTTCGCCAACACTTTAGGCGTAGCGAATGGACAACCTCCTGCTTCAAAGTCAAAGTTAGCAGTTGGCCATGCTGACAGTTCCTTATATAAGGGCTTGGAATTCCTGCCAGAACCCAAGAGCAATATTAGTTTCACTTTCTTTCAACTATTAACAAAACAGAGAAATCAAGTGATGCTATGTGAATAAGGCCTGCAGTGCTCATCACAATGAACACGAAAATCACTGTTTTCATGATTGTGATGCATGACCTTACTTCAGTTTTCATTATCGTGTGTTCCCATCACTCCATGCCCCTCAATTTGAAACATGCGGAATGTTTTACTTACCTGCTAATACTTTCTAATTTGATAAAAGGGGCCCTTAATTCAGTGGAAGATGATTTTATTTTATCACAGGATGATGACCTTTTGAGATATTTCTCATAAATTTTATCCAGCCATGTGATAACCTGTAATATGCAAAATTCTATATTAATTAACTGCAAGTTCATATCTGTGACAGAACTATAAACACTTTCAAACCTGCCATCAGTAGCCCAACAAATGGTGTATAGCTTTTTTTGTTTTATTTTATTTTTTTTACTGCTAGTGGGGTGGGACTAAGTCCCTTGTACTGCGGCCACTTCTGGCCTATTGTACCCGCGCCAGATGATAGGTGAGGGTGACTGTGGAGCAATTGGTAGAATGAAGATTGGCAGGGGAAACCAAAGTACTTGGAGAAAACCTGCCCCAGCGCCACTTTGTCCACCAAAAATCCCACTTGACCATACCCGGGAACAAACTCGGCCGCCGCGGTGGGAAGCCAGCGACTAACCGCTTGAGCTATGGCGCGGCCTCTGGTGTATACCGTAATGCTGTTAGCATTAAAGACAGCATGCCTCTTATGAATATAAAAACTGGCTGAGTAAGAAATATACCTTCATTCACACCAATGTTTTGGTATTAATACCCAAAAAATACTGTGATAGTGTTGTATAAAAACTACCAGTGAACTCCGCCGAAAGTCCATTCAATCCACATACAAACCTTTTTCTTTTGTTCTGTTTATACACACCGAGGAAAAAAATCTTTTAACCTCTTATTATACCCTCCCACAACCTTTTTCAAATCCTTATTAGTTCCTTCCTCTCTTTTTGATGTCTTCCAGTAACTGCATGAACCATCATGTTCTGGGCCAAGCCACAGGTCTCTTTCCTTCAAGTTTCTAATTTACTGCCCTTCTTTGGGTCCCTGTTCTATCCATTCTTTTCTATATGACCAAATGCTGTAATCACTTCTTACAACTTTTACCAAATCCTGAATTTTTACTTTTCCAAACCCATTACTACAAACATCACTCAGGCACATTTACATTTTATCTTTCTATCCAAAGCATAGACTTCCAAAGAGATTTCATCACCAAAATTACGTGTTTTGTTAATTTATTGGACATCATGCATTGGCAATTAATTCTATCAGAATAAATATCAGGGGCATCTGACTGAGCAATCTGCTTCATTTTCCTTAAGCTGAATAACCCATTTTCAATAAACATTCTAAAGAGGAGAGGGCACCAAGTTTTACCAACACATGAAACATTAGAAGTAATAATTTTCCATTTTCCATTACAACTTTCTGCTACTTTGAAAACATTACTGATACCCACTATAAGCTTGCTGGTTTCTTAACAGCTTCAGCAGAGTCCATTAACTATCATGTAAAAAGGAAAGACTGCGAGAAGAATGGAGATTTGAGACTTCTTGTGCATCGACCCATACAAAACAAAAATGATGCTAGATTAAGGAAACAAAATAAATGGGATATTTATAAGAGAAATGAGAATTCCCCAAATTTGTCCATTTCTATAATTTTCTCATGAACCTCATTTTTACTGCATTAAAAATCTTTATAAAAACTTTCTTTATTTCTTTATTTATTGTCATGTGATTTTTTTTAGTTCTGACTATGTGTATACTGTAACAGCATATATAACCATATAAGGACATTTAACTTTTTGGAAAGCAGACTAAGAAAATGGGGTAATTGTTCATTACTCACAGTCTTAACGTTTCAAAAGAGATTCTATAAAAGGTAAAGCTATCCCTGTAACAGGCTCTGGAGATCCAAAGGTTTGTGAGACATTGAGGCTCCCACATTTTCTAGACAATTGGCTTGTAGATGGTGGTGAGGTTGTCAGCCTTACGCGCCGGCTGCCCTTTACCCCTCGGAAGATTCCTGGTAATTATTTCTGTTAGAGGGTGGGTCAACCCCAGGGCCATATTGCAGCTGGAAGGATTAGGTTGATTGAAAAATGCAATGACCTCACTGGGAATCAAACCCACAACCTTCTGGCTTGTAGCACAGTGCTTCGACCAACTGTGCTACTGTGTGCCCCAAAAGAGAATCTGTGGACAATGAATATGAAACAAAAAGCAGAATTATACAAATCTAAGTATGTGCTCTGGCAACGCAGATTATGTATGTTCAGTTTTCCTGGATGACGTCAATACTTACTTTCTCAAGAGGCCAGATGGGAATACTCCAGCGAGCAGCGTTATCTAGTGGATCAACTGTGGACTGTTGCGGCTGCAGTTTGGCTCTCTCCAGCATTGCCTCTGCTCGAGTCTTCTGCAATAAATAATGCCATCAATAACACAAAGAGAACCAGTTACCGTATATACTGATGTCACTAAACAAGAAAGAAGTCCAGCGCTGCTACCACCATTGCCATTGCTGTGATTACTATAGCGAGGTTCTTACCTTTGTTGACTGGTTAATGGCCCTGCACCTCAGAGCGACAGGTGCACCACCTGCCGAGAGGCGCATGTGAATTTTGACAATAAATCAAAATGCCTATTGGCCAATAACATTCGGAATAAAGTAGTTACAAGTCACAGATCACAGGAAGTGCTGAAACTGCTGTCCATCAATTGCTTACCAATCTCACTGTTGACAGGAGACTGTAGAAACCAAATGAAAAAAAAAAAACCCTTCTAGCTGGATTGGGCGTCTGCAAGGTGTGAGTGGATTACTGTTCTTTTATAGGGTCTAAGCTTCAGCAATTGTGTTGCCCTTCCTCCATTAGATTTTGACACTGCAGTCACTTGCTAGGTCCCTCCTCCAGGAGGGACCTTAATCTGTCAGTCCCGTGTCGTAGATTTACGGCATGTAAAAGATCCTCATGTCTCTAGGAGACCTCTGAGCAAAATTAGGTAAAAAGTTTCCCACCCAAGTAGTTTCCAATGCCTCCGGTAGATGGGTGAAGTATCGGGTACCAGTGCCAGTAGAGGGGCCGAACTCGCTGGCTGAACAGGGCTGATAGCAAGCACCAGTATTGGAAGGGTATGGGGACTGGTAGAATATCAAAGGGGGACGTACAACAGATCAACAACTGGTCACGGTGCATGGGTAAACCCACGCCCTCCAATAATGAATAATGAATGAAAAGTACACGGCACCATGATGGAACACATTAGTCACTAGTCTGTGAGCCAACTGTCTAGAACATGTGAAAGCCTTGATGTCTCACAACCCTATGGACAGCTTTACCTTACCTTTATGGAGGGGGTTATTACAGACACTATGCCTGGAGGACAGTTTTCTGTTTAGAACTTCTGTAACCCACTGCACGGAAGAGTATCCTGAGATGATAAAGTATGTTCAGCTAGTCAAGAAATTTAAAGTGTTTTAAGCGAATTGAAGGTTCATTACCACGTTCAAAAGAGCCCATTAGTGTTCCTTATCCTGAGCCAGAAGTATCCAGTTCATACCCTCCCATCATATTTCTTGAATTTCCACTTGTATTTTCACCATATGCCACTAGGTCTTCCAAGCAGTCATCTTCCTTCAGATTTTCCTGCAAGCATTTTTGTATCTCCCATGCATGCTGCATGCCCTGACCACCTGATCCTCCTTCAAGGTGAGGAGTATAAATCTTGAAGCTCCTATGCAGTTTTTTCAAACTTTGTATCACTTTCCTCCTCTTGGACGCAAATATTCTTCTCAGTATTCTGTTCTCAAATTCATTTAATTTATGATTCCCCCCCTTAATATGAGAAACCAAATTTCACAGCCATACAAAACAACAAGCAAAGTTGAAGAACCTACATATCAGGTTCAATTTAGATCTACATGCCATCTACTATTCCACATCTTATGAGCTAATGACATGTTTCAGCCACATAGGGACCTTCGTCAGATGCATAGGATCCACATAAATTGTTATACTGTGTCATTTAGTTTATGAGAAGACATGGAACAGGTGGTGTTGTGTATAAATATCACATGATGAAGCTAGTGAGGCAGGATTCTAACATATAAAATTTGGAGCATTTCTCAAAGATCTGGCTTAATATTATCTAAAGGTGTTACATTCCCTTCAAGTTTTCCATCCCAAATTGTGTATTCTGTTCTTCCTACCCCTAAATCTGTTACAAATGCCACTCCTCAGCAAGCTGCAAGGAGAACCCAAATATAAACTTAAGATTGGTCGCCCAATGAGTGGAATATTTGCAATACTCATCATTAAATTCCTATGATAATGACACTGTACAATTGCTAAATATAAAAGTCTAACATTATGGTGGTACATCCTATAATTTCCAATACTGAAAAGAGATGCATTCACTGTGCAGCTGTTCTCAATTCTGGCAAGATCTTGAATGGCCAACTATGAAACTGCATCGTCCTGCTCTGGAACATTCAAACAGTCCATATTCATTTGACTTGTCTCATTCTCTCAGTCCATATTCATGCTTACTAACTGCTGCATCACCACGAAGCAACAACTTCTACATTATTAAATAGCAGGCTACATTAGGTACACAGGCTCACTGCTGATGTTCACATAATTGGCTGTCAGTATAGTAATTAGGCTCCAAGCTGAATGACTGACAGGGGTAAGAGGCTTTTCTTTTGTGCACACCAACCAGACATGTTCACACAACCTCCTTTACAATGGGCATGTACAAGGGAGCCGTTTCCAGTGGAGGCAGAGGGAAGTGGCAGGAGTGTGAGGCTGACCACTCACCCCCATCCAACGCCAAGCCAGAGAATTGTGGAGCCATACCTTCACTCCCACACACATCTTCATGGTGTGGGATCTTTTTTTTTATAGGTTATTTAATGATGGTTTCGGTATTGAGACCTCACACACCATCAGATGGTAGGCTGAGAGATGAATTGGATAATCAAGGTATTTTGCTGGCATTTGCTTGAGGGGACTGAAAAGCCCATGAGAAACCTCAATCACGTTAGCCAGTGTCCCCTCCTATATTCAAACCAAGGACCTAAATACAAGACCAAGGTTTCTAGACCAACCTGTTCAGTTTCATGGCATGCTCTTTAATTATGCACAGTGACAGCTTTACCTTTTACATTTTTACTAATCCATCAAAAAAACAATAAAAACAAACTCCGTGGCCTGTAGTCCACAAGCAAACTATACCGAGCGAGCGACCGCTGCTTGTCAGCAAAGTTAGTGCCAACTTTTGCAGATAGAGGATGTCATGTGGTCAGTGCAACAGATCCCCAGGGCCATTAATCTTGGTTTTCTAGTCCAGAGCTGCTACTTCCTTGAAAAATCACCTCAGTTATCATGAGGCTGAGTGGACCCCGTTCCAGACCAGCTATTTCTCAGAAAAGCTGGTAATGCCACGAAATGAACCTGGGGCCTCTGGATCTGTAGCCAAGAACTCTGACCACAAGACCATTAAGATTAAAAAATATGTGATATCAATGTGAACACTTCCTATTCTGACCACACTACAAGAGTAATTCAATGAATGATACTGAACCAACAATGTGAGGCTTTTACCAGGCTATTCGTGACATTATCAAAGAATACAGGGTTATATACAGATATCATACAACATCTGTCACATGTGATGTGGGATGGTGGAGTGAGATAAGACTGCTTCAGTGATCAGATAAGAAGAACTGTAAACATTCAGAAATGCTAGAAATGCTAGGCCTTAAACCCATTCCCATCCTTTTCATTTCAAATCTCATTAAATACCAATTACAAATTCATTTGCACAAAAATAAAAACAAAAATTGATATAGGAAAACAAGCGATAAAATAATGTAAAAGTCAAAGATTTAACACAATGCATGTGATCACACTGTGGCAGTAAATTCACATGTGGTGGTGAGGGAAGGTTTCTGGCAGTGGGCCTGTATGGGAAAGTTACAATGCTGGATGCCTCTGAACATAGAGGAAAAGGCTGATAAAACAATATTGTTCCTTACTTCAGAATTAATTTTGGTGGCTGCTGTATCTGCTGATCATTGTGGCCATGTGGTCTAATGTGTATCCTATCTTCTAGCTCCAAACAGTGTGAGAGTGAATATAAATCCCACTTGACACACGGATGTGTGCATTTTTTCTGTTTATGTCATCCTGTACAGGCAGAGGCCTTGTGATGGACCGATCACCCATTCAGAAAGTCCTACCAAATGTCTATAAACATAATACCTAAGCCCAAGAAACAGGAAGCTTTTGATTCCTGTGGTTCATCATGTGATACAAGACTGTCTTAGTTTTTCAGCATAACTATAACTCCACAGCACAGCCTTTCTCGAACAGCTGATGGTACACAGCTAATCAAGAAATTCATTTATATTATGAAACCTGACTGCCCACCACCACAAGCCAGGTCACATCATCACAATACATTTATTTATACATTCAACAGTGAGGTTTCTCCATAAAAATTTTGTATGCAACCCTTATTTCTCTGCACACGCCAATCTCACTCTTCTTTATTTAATCATACCGATTAGGTATGGACCTAAAATTGCAAGGCTTCTAATTAGAACATTTGCTCCTTTTTCTCATTATTTCATCTCTTCTGGTTCATAACAAAAAGGTGTACTAGCACATGAAGTGTAAGTAATCACCAGTCTATCATAAACATACATGACAGTTACAATATGAACTACAGTACTTGCATGACAGATTACTGAATTAAATCAGTAGTATTAGTGACAATATAAGCTAAGTGACCTCAAGGAGTAAGAAATAAGAACATACAATTCACAAATCTTTACTCAAGAATGTTATTGAGTTCAGTTTCATAATCATGCAGCTTCTTAATCCAAGTTCTCTCAATATCAGACTGCCACCAAGCAACTCACAGATCTCCTCCTCCCCCCACTCAGCCCGTCTCCTGGTGAGTCAAGTGTGGCTGGAGACTCATTGGAACCCTGTCCACCAAGAGGAGTCAAGGATGATGGCGGGACAGCACCACATTTTGGCGTGCTGCCACTGAGAGAGCCGCTGCTAGCAGCTATGCCTGCAGATGTCCGAACTGGCCGGTCTGTCACCACATAGTTCACTTCCTTCACCAGAAACCACTCAACTGTCTGCGGCAAAAACAAGTCAAGTGTCAACATCTTCATATTTGAACACAAATTAAGGGATGTGTGAGACCTGAGGTTCTCACAGTGGTGAATACGAAAAGTACTGCATCTGGGATATAACATCATGTAGCCCGTTGTAAGTCAATCTGATGTTTTGGAGAAACATATCGTCTCCATCTTCAGGGTTCAACAGGCCAAGTAACAGTGCCTGCCACCTGTTTTCACACTGGTATTTTGCTTGGCCTATTCGGCCCTAAAGAACGAGGCATATGTTCCTCTGAAATGTTGGCTTCAAACGGACTACATGACATTATATCCCAGAACACCGCTGTGAGAACCTCAAATTTTATATGAGACACCATGTAACCCAGCAGAAGTTGTACTTCTTCTGGACTACATGGCTTCACATCCCAGTTCACAGTACTCCTTATAAGATCGTATCTTTTCTTTTCAATTCTTTATGGTTCATTTTATGATGCTGATAGTAACTAAAACTATTTATCACATCAAATGGTGGGATGTTAATGAATGAGAAAGGATCAAGGATTTATCCAGCATCTGCCTGGTGTCCCAGTCAAGATTTGAGCTAAGCATTTGCTGAAGGAAAGTCAGAATTGTTACTGCCTGAACCAAAGCACTCTGTGAGTTTATACCAGAAAGTTCTAATATACCAATATCTGTACCACACTGAGAGTCTGGGTCCTTACACACCACCAGAGAACATACCAAGTATGACAACAGTAATGACAAATTTCCCAGTTCAAATCTCAACACACAGAATGATTAACACAAATACTTTTCCATAATTTTCTCAGCACCCCACTTCAAATGCCAAATATATTACCTTAATACAGCGTACAGCACCTTTCATTCATACCCCTCCCAACTCTTCATTAATCTTCAATGGCCATGCATCACAGTTTTGTTTCTGTGAGTTATTTAGCGATGCTGAGAACGGCTGCATTATATGATATCGAATTAGACAATGATATACAAATTTGGAAAGAATTTCAAGAGAGGCAATTGTCGCCCAACTGCAATATCATTCTGGCATCTTTCTGGAGAGACTCAAGAAAACTATTAGTGTAACAATACTATGACAGGTTGCACACAGTCAGGCACGCAGTGTTGCAACTTTTCAAGAACTGCACCAGAACAACAAAAACCATTTTTCCTTGTACTTCATTAAATATTCAGCATAACCCCACCAAAAAGTAAAAAATTATTTAGAATAAAAGTTGTAAAATGTATGATCTACAAATTTTGTGGTCGTATATCATGAAAACTACAGGTTACATTGCACTGGTAAAAACGTACTAAATTCATCCGACAACTTTCAATGTAGCCCTAAAATACCACTCTGCTGTAATCTGTCCAGCAATTTTGGGCATGAAATGTGCAGTGCTCGGTCTCCCAGTTGTGCACTCACATTTTACACTTCATTCATTAAACAAGAACAAGATGTTTACAAATACAAATTGTAAACAATGCATACACAACTGGCATAGTCTACCCTTCAATACAGATTCCACACTTTTGTTGCATTGTTTATGGAAAGAACTAAGAACAACCAGGGTGAAACACTGATCTGGAAAGCAGTGTGCGTCTGTTACTAAGTACTTCCGTAAGACATCTTAACACTGAACATAACTCTCATAATTCAACTATAACAATACCCACCAACCCACACTAAAGAAATTGCAACCATTTCTAAATGGATACACAGAAATGGTACTGTCACATAGCAATGGCATATACAATATCTGACATAAATCTTGGATTTTATCACCAAATTAGCTATCAATTTCTCATACTAGCTATATAGCACACCACATACAAGAGATCTGTTCAATAAAGCCATAACTTCATGTACAGAAACTTCAAAATTGGGGATAAATAATATGGAATACACTAATCTGCAAAATATTATGGATAATGGAAGTGCACTATGAACCAAAAACAGCTTCAAAGTTACAGAATCAACTTTAACGACGTTCACTACATATGAGATATGTGCTGAGTACTGCAAAGGGTGTCATTTTGATAGTTTTCTCCATAATAGTTTGTAAACAATAATATGTAGGTCTTAGACCCGCCTCCCTGATACATACGCTATTGTAGGTTCTGCCAACTTAAATTTGTCCCGGGTGGGTGAAGAAACGTAATTTAATAAAACACAATGCAAATACTAATTCTTCAAATGCGTGTTCAATATTTCAAAAGCCACTTTAAGAAAGTTCGGTCCATTAATAAATAAACTTTACCAAACCTATCACACAAAATGGCTTTATTCTCTTCCGTTACGAACGCTCTACAAAAGAGGGCAGTATAATCGCTGAAAGTAAAAATGGCGGTGGCTTGCGAAAGCCTCGCGGACGTATTGGTTGTTGCTCCCCACCTCTACAAATATCAATCAATGCGCGAAGTTCTATTTTGTGACGTCGACGCACAAATAATCCTTAATACTAAACGAAATGATTACAAACCAATGCAAGAATAAAATTACGTAAATTTCGATACAACTGCAACGAATGCAACTACATGACAGGGCCATATCTAGCATGTACAATTCCCTATAACGCCACTTCATGGATAAAAATGGTATTCAAAAGGAAATGCCAAGCTGTGTTGGCCAGGCTTATGTATTACTTCTGTTGAGTTCATGAATGTACATCCTAGGAGTGTCAACTCTGTGGATAACTGATATTCAATTCACATTCAATACTCAGTGAAATGGGATGGACTGATTTTGGATAGCAAACTGTCAACTTGTCAATCCACTTCATCAGTAGGAGTTCTGAAGTACTAAAATACGAACACCCAACTTTCTCATACCTACCAAAGAACCCTCTGGATTTAAACAACATGCAATACGTGAAAAACATCGATAGAAATGGTAAAGCAAAGTTGGGACACACCAGAACTGAGAGTGTGGGATTTTCTAGGTTACAAGACTAAAATACTCCGGAAATGAATTGAATAATAACTTCCAGCAATCTGAAGATTAATTTCAGCCTTTGATGAAGGTGAGTGGTCACAACCCAACTGCTTTAGTCCAAGTTCCAAACTGGACAGGAGGCTGGGTGGGCCATGAAGCCAGTCCTGACACTGGGGCGAAGAGAAAAGTCTTTCTACTGTCACAATTGAACTCAAACCATAACCTAGTTGTTATACTGACAGATTCATTATAAACTTTAAGTTCAACTCCAGATTTAAGGAACCTACTAGTATAAATTTGGGGCATGTGATAGAGTAGTTGGTTGAGGCACTACCCAGGTTGTGGGATCAAATCCCAATGAGGTCATTGTATTTTTCCATCAGCACTATGGCCCTGGGGTCGACTCAGCCTCTAACAGAAATGAGTACTAGGAATTGTTCTGTGGGGTAAAAGGGTGGCCGGCACGTAAGGATGACAACCTCACTACCATCTATGAGCAGACTGTCTAGAGAAAATGTGAGAGCCTCAACCTCTCACACCTCTATGGGCCTTCATGGCCTGTTACAGGGACATCTTTACTAGTATAAATTCAGAAATTATGGTACTGCAATAGCTGAAGCATACTACATATTATCCTGAGCCAACTGAATCAACTCAGACCATTACAACCAGCAAATACCCATTCCTTGGTTCTTAGCACAGAGTCCAATGGGTATTTCTGTTGAATATATTGCCCATCTTTGTATACGTGTTCTTTATAAAGTCCGTGTAAAACAAAGTAGTATAACATAAACAGTAAAAAAGGGCTCCCAGACTGTTTGGGGAACTGTTCCCAAAGGGCTGACAGAAATCATGAAATGCTGAAATTCAGTTAGTTCAACTCAGATGGAACACTGGCTCCTCCAGAAAGACACAAACTATTAACTAGCTCAATTCAAAATAAGTAAAAATAAGAGAAAGAATGTAAGAAAGTGATCTACTTTCATTCTGTAATTGTCAGGCTTACTGTATCACAGCCCTGCCTTTTTCTTTAAATGTTAATTTTTAATGCTGTCAGTACGAACTTGAATGGAAAAGTAGCGGCTCTGGTCTTGAAAACCCAGTTTAATGGCCGTGGGGATCTACTGCGCTGATAACTTGACACCCTCTATCTGCAAAAGTTAGCACTAACTTTGCCAACAAGTGGCAGATGCTTGGTCGGTATAGTTCGCTCACGGACTAAGACCACGGAGGTTTTTTTTTTTTTCCGTAGGAAGACTACACAGTGCTGAATCACAGGATGACATATGAATGATAGACTGCGAAGAATTTGGAAGGCAGTTGTGCCCTATCAGGCTACTATAACAGCATCTGCCTGGTGCAATTGAAGAAAACCATAAAAACCTGTCAGGACAGCCAGGGTCCTGGGTGACAACCGAACCAAACATCTCCCAAATGAGTCAACAGCATTATCACCATGCCATACTGCTGAGTTAGGCACTGGTGATACTGACAATACAGCCATGTAATAAAGTTATCTGTATTTTTGTCTACTTAACCTATGAACTGAACCGGTTATGTAAGACCAAGAAAGGAAAACATTTATGAATGACAAAATGGAAGGAACAGAGTACAAAGCAGCTGCAGATACTATCAAAGCAGATGCAATGCAATGCTGAGGAACCCCAAAATAAACAATTCGAGATANTCTTATATATTTTTTCTTCCACCCTGGAGATGGAGGCGATACGTTCCTCCGAAACGTCGGTTAACACCACATATACACGATGCCAAATCCCAGAAGACTGCTTTCTTCATAGTCACTGCCGTGAAAGCTTCAAATCTTACAAAAAAAGGCATGTTCTATCTAAACCTATTCAGTGCTGTAACAATATGACACATGCCCACATCAATGAATTGACATTTAATAAAATAAATTTCTTTGTTCCAAACACATATACAACAAAATTCTGAAAAAAAAATCAATTACATTAACACAGCCACCTTAGTTTATATTGCATGGAAACACACACAATTTTCCTCTGATACTATGATGGTATGTTTTTTTAGCCCAGAACACTGAAAAACATAAATATAAAAAATGAACTTATGCTTACTGCTCCTAGTGACTTCAATTTCTGTTCTAGGTTACTTGAAGTAATATGATTTTTTAAATCCAAGTAGAATTTCTTATTCAGCAGGGGTTTCGCATTTCTACAGTGCTGGCTTTGACCTGAAAAGGATGATAAATCAATTATAAGACTACTGTAATTCACTGTATTGCAGTTAAAATTAAAAGTAAGAGCTTGTATCTAATACATTTAGATAGCAAAAGCGGTTTCGCAAATCGCCACTAATTTACATTACATATATGACATTATTATAACTTACCTTCTTTTTCCTTCTGCCTGTCTCTTTTGGAAGTTGATAACATTCCTTCATTTAAACACAAACTTTCAGGATACAAAAATAACCAAATGGTTTACGAGGATCGGTTCGGCGTAATTCACATAATGAACATGCGAATGGATTCATCTTGTGCCACATTATTTACACCACAACACTCGCACATACATCTACCTTTCCTTCCATTACGTCGGCTCACGATACCGCAATAGACAGACCGATCATCTCACACGCGAAGTGGTCAATTCGTCCGTCTGAAACTTCGATAAAACGGAAAATAGGAACTATAGGTACACAAGTGATTCTGAAATATACCCTTTACGTACTGCAGCTGCTATACGACACATTAATACAATCTTAATCTATGTATAGTACAGACAAATCGTAGAACAAAACTTCTCCTCACACATTCGAGCGCCACGCTACGACCAAAACAACCACGGTGGCACACTCTGGCGGCATTGTGTTGTGTATAGCATACACAACACAACCAGAATGATATTGATTTTAAGCGAAATAGCCTCACTCCACAGCTGTTCAGTGAAGCGTTTCATGTCATTATTTACAGCTACTCATAAATGCTGAATGAACAGAAAAGAGTTTATATTAACAATGTCGTCATCATCGCTAATGCAAAACAGTTGCGTTCTAGAAATTTGCCGCCAAAAATTTAAATAAAATGATCCAAATATTTTAATCAACATCGCTTTGCGCAACTCCGGATGTCATTAGTAAGAATATGTGGGTCCGAAGTATGAGGGCGCCAAATATAAGAAGTAAATTTTCACGCCGGTTTCTTTGCTTACACGACTGTCACACAATAAATAACGCGTCAAATATAGGTATGTCACATTACTTATCTCAACAAATTATGATACCCAGTATTTTTCTTTTGTACATTGTCTGGTTAAAACGATGTACACCATTTGAAGTCCAGCTCTGTCTCTGTCTTCAGATATAATGATAAATGCTTGACATATCGAAGGATTCCCAGCATATGCACTTACAAATGGGCACCAACTGGTCACTGCAAGTTAATGTGGTACAGGAAAGTTTGAGGAGCATAAATATACTCATTTTCATTGCAGGATTGCAAAAGAATTTTATTTTAGTTGTCATACATTTTCCCATTCAGATAATGAAAAAAAGTAAATACTCCCAAGGTATGGAAGCCTAGGTACATTTATATGTCATGTATCATTAAATACTGCAACCTGTAATATTCCTAGAAAATACTACATAGATAAGATCAACCACTCCTTGTTTTAATAACTCTGCATACATTTGTTTTAAATATTACTAGAACCAACCAATGAAATCTCTGGTAGCAGAAATTGAAGGACAAGCATTACTAATACAAGTACAAAAATCTGCCACTGGACATGTTCATGAGCTAGTTATATCTTTATATCTAATTTGTTCAATTTTAACATATGTACTCCCATCTTCTTCTCAGTCTTATAAGTGACCATTTTTAATACGATTCCTCACCAAAATTCTCAAAGAATATCTTGTCTCTGCAGCCAAGCTTCAAGCCTAGCTTACCATATTCTCCTAGATTACATTATCCTCAAAATATAAGTGACCTGAGTGCATCCTTTAGTTCTGCATTAAGTAATGTCTCAAAATGCTTACTTATTTAATCCTTTTCAGGTGTTACTTACAAAGTATAAAGGAATGCCTGGTGTAGAGGTCATGTCTGTCTGTAAACCAGTGCGCAATTTTTTTTAAAAATTTGACACCAGAAACCTTCATACATAACAAAGCCTAGTTTGCATAGGGCCATAAATTGACTTAGCCACGTATCCCACAAATCTTCCCACAGATTCTGATGAAATTCAAAATTCACTATTTTCCATTTTAAGCAAGCATATTGAACTGCAGAAACAGTCTTGGTAGTTTTTTGGGCTACTTGTGCAATACGCTACTTCCAGTCTTGTTTGACTCGACACAGAATTGTGCTTTTGAAGTGCTGAGGAACAGTTCTCCTCAAAATTTATTTCCAAGGCCAGCAGATAACTGCTTTCAGTAATTTACTTTTTTACTCTTACATTAACACTACATAAGGATTTCTTGTTATTACGTGTCATATTTTACACCATGGTTTCTGGACATCAAAATAAGTAAAAAAGTTCATGTCAGTATGTTCCCTGATGACATTCCTTAACTTTTTCCAAAACACTTAGGTGGACTAATGAAAGATCTGTCCTTTAATACACATCTTCATATGTTGTTTCAACACGATGGCATTTCATCACATTACAGTTGTGAAGTATGTCAGTGGCAGTCTGGAAATTACCCTGGGAGCTTGACTGGTAATGAACGCAACGCTCCAGTCTCCTGGCCTGCACGCTCAGCTGACATGCATCTATTTGATTTTTTTCTTTCTGTGGGGATATTTGGAAATAAAGGTTTTCAAAAGTAAAGTCAGTACTAGAGAGGAACTGTGGGACAGAATTAAACAATTTGCAAGTGAAGTAAAGAGTACACCTGGAATCTTGGAATGCTTGTAAGTTTCTTTCGCATGGAGAGCTGAGTTATGTGCCTGAATATGTAGGCCATTTTGAACGCCTTATAAGAAAGTAACACTGAAGTGGTTCCTATCGGTACTTTTGTTTGCTTTTTTCTTATACACAACCCATTAGATTTACAAAGTATTTATGGTTTGAGTCCATGATTTATTTCAACCGTCTTCCAGTGCATACACTCATCTATCTTACTCCTCTCTCTCGCACTACATGTTTCGGCACAAAAGTGCCATCTTCAGGTGCTTATTCGATTTACGATAAACTAGTTCACTGCATGCCTTGCCGTCTTCATATTAACACACGCAGTCACAGGAGCAAGACAGNTTTATCAATATATATTTTAGTTATTTTAATATGAAGACGGCAAGGCATGCAGTGAACTAGTTTATCGTAACTCGAATAAGCACCTGAAGATGGCACTTTTGTGCCGAAACATGTAGTGCGAGAGAGAGGAGTAAGATAGATGAGTGTATGCACTGGAAGATGGTTGAAATAAATCATGGACTTAAATCAGTGCAACAGGACGCTAAAATATAACATTATTTATGGTTTGACCAGGGAAGTTAGCTGTCACTTTCTAGGGTACACATTTATATTAACTTCTTATTTCTTTACTGATTTTGATATCAGAAAACCATCCTATAAAACATGGCATATGGTAATGAGACATTCTGCATAAGCAGTTTTCATGGTTTAGACTATAAGCAATGAAATTTAAAACTGCTGACACAATAAAATGGGCTGTACTATTTTCCACTATTTTTTGATATGCCAGTGCCAATATTATTTGTGTCCTAGTTAAAATCTTCAGAGATCCAGACCTCAGCCTGCCTAGTGAGGTAAAGTAATTCTCTTCTGAGGTGGCAGTACCCAAGAACCAGATTCCACTGCTCTGATGATGGGTTGGAAGGATGGTTGGCTGACTGGCACCACGGTTTCACCTGGGATTTGAACCACATTGAGAAAAAAAGTCTCAGAATCAGCTTTGGCAGAAGTGATAACCTTCATCTGTGCACAAAAGTATCCACACAGAGATTAACCTGCAGGAAAACCCAGAACTCTCACAATGAGAATGTACTCTTATCCCACGACTGTGATATTCCCACACACATAAACGGAAGCTAGTTCTCTGTGATCTGACATCATATAATTTGGTAGGCACATACCAATATTTTGGAGAAAGCCAGAATTTGGATCTACCAAACTACACGGCATCACATCCACAAAGACCATAATCATAACAATCACTGCTGCAAGAATCTCAAATTTCACAAATGATAATTTGGTTCACTATGGAAGCACAAAATCTTAAATTGTTACTTAGTCACACATGAACTTTCATTTGTAGATGATGTTCTTTGCTTGTCCCGGTCATTTGAATTTTATAATGTACGTAGGTCGTACCGAAAGTCATGAGCAACTTTTTTTCATGCAAACCTGGGAACAGCAGACGAACGAGAGTACAGTGGTAGGTGGAACCAGCTGTTGTGTTAACCTTGAGTGCCTTGTGACATCACGTGACCAGTAACACTCCTAACAGAATGGCCAACAATGATATGTGGTTTTGCCAGCGCGCTGTCATCAAATTTCTTGTGAAAGAGGAAATCCCTGCTGCAGAAATGAAGGTGGTCACATCCTCACCCCACTCACTTTGAACCCCTGAAGATAGATGCAGAATATTCCTCTGAAATGCTGGTATTAACCTACAACACTAAATGATATCACAGAGCAGAATACCAGATTCTGCTTATTTATGCCTGTGTAAATTCACAACTTATAACATACATCCTATTTTAAATCACAAAACTTATAATTGTATTTTAAACCAGTTATCTCAATTCTTCAATCAACTGAATCTGCTGAGGATAGTTTAATTTGAGGAAAAAATAGTCATTACGCTAATCAAGAAATTCGCTGCCATTTACGGGACCCAAAAATTCACTGCTGTTCACAACAACCCACCACTGGTCCTATACTGTGTCAGATTTAGCTGCAACAGCACTTACAAGTTACCGATTTCATGCTACATGGTGGTTCATCATTCATGTTGATTCTCCTCTTGGATCTTTGTATTGTGTGAATGTAGGCAGTGTTGCCAACACTTCAGAGGTAGACACTGCCTACATCTGAAGGATCAAAGGGAATAAGGGCAGGTGAAGTGAGGGGGAGGGGAGGCAGGTCACATCTCAGCATGTCACACATCTCATCAAAGTTTCCAGCTTCCTTCTCCTCCCAGTTGCTTCCAGTAATGTCAAGCATGTGGTGCTCCCTTCACACGTAGTTCATGTGTGCACTGGATTTTTATAGCATATAATTAGTATAGAACACTGGCTGAGGAGGGTCAGTCGGTCTTCCAGAAGCAGCAGCTCATATCGTGAAAGAGTGTGTGCCGTGAAACACAAGTAGTGAGCTCCATACAGATTAGTGAATGCAAGAAGCGAATTGTGCAATGGTATGAAGAGTAAGCGTAGTGAACTGAAACAAACTGGTGTCACAACCATGACAAACAAAAGCAACTGCTCCAAAACAAGATACACATTACGTATGTACTGGTGTCTGATTCAGCAGATACGATGGGGAGAAATGGTGGGCACTGAAGCCCAGACCAGGCTAACAGGGACAGTGGAGAGGGAAAGATTATCAAACATCCCTTTTCAAGGGCATGCAGCCTACCATCCTCCAATGGGTCTGTTACATCAAAAACTTATATATTCATGAACACTCACCCACACTACTCATTCTGACCCTGAAAGCAGATACGCATGTACCTCTGCAATGTCAGCAACACTATCCATATCCACACTGCACAAAAACCTGAAAGTGAAATTAACATCAACACTTACATCCTAAGTATTACCTTCCATTACTGAGTTTACTTCTTCTAGATGAACATACTAAAAATTTAACACTTCTGGAGAGACGAACGTTAAGAAAGTATATCATGCTGGAAGCTTCGCTTGACACTAACGTGAGGGAACACCATCCGCCAGTAGGCCACTTCACTGTCCTGAACTTGGTCACAGAAACTGACGTCTAACAGCCGCAGTTTGTTACACCTTGTTAGAAACCTGCACACAACAAAGCACATAAATTTTTAAGTACTTAAAGAGCACCGTCTCCTGGGATGCAATTCATACAGTCTGGTAGAAAGTTACCAACATTTCTGAGGTACACTGAAGATGGAGGCATAGGTTTCTCTGAAACACTGGCACCCTTCTACCACAACACACAACAACACCAAGCAACTTGGCCCAAGCAGTAATGCTCTGACTTGCATTTGGGAGGTGCTTGGTTTGAATCTCAGCTGAGACAATGACTATTCTGACAGAGATTTTTGTGGGTTTCCTCAGTCTCTCCAGAATAATGCTGGGATAGCACCTTGAAACAGGCCACACTTGCTTCATTCCACATCTTAATCGCCACCTAAGTCTATGCAGTCTGAACTTCTGACAGCACTGTTACATAAACGATAAATGAAAACAAAAGATGTATGATATCTCATCCCTCAAAGCACCAGTTTTCATATTCATTGCCATACAGTGTTCAGGTCTCACACAGTCAGCCTCAGTGGGACTCCACTCTGCATGTGCAGCACACAGACTCCTCTGAAACACTGGTACTTATCTACCACATTACATAGAATCACATCCCAAACTTCATGACAAGTTCCATCTTCTGACATAACACTGTGTAGTCTCGAAAAATCAACTGACATTTCAGAGGAAAATATCACTCCCATCATCAGGGTCAATGAATAAGCCAATTGCTTCCTGCTGGTTTCTTACTTGGCTTATTCTTCATGCCTGAAGATGGAGATGACATTTTCCTCTGAAACGTCACTTTATTTTCAACAGACTACGCTGTACTTCACATGAGCCCAAGCTCAGCTTTGAAAAAGAGCTCAATGTGAAAACAAAGAAGTTGGATCATGATATAAAATATATATCTCACGAAGACGTATACTTAAATTCAAAACATCTTTCAATAATGAGTCTTGTGACATCGTGGAAAGACAATGGACTCTCATTTAAAGGGTCCAGAGTTTAATCCCTGCCCAGATAAGTGTGTAGATTTTCTGACCACAGATTGAAAATTACAGATAATGAAAAAAACTTTCAGCCCCCATTCATCCAGAACATTGGTACCTACCTATGAAGCTGTAAGGTGTCACAGTCGAGAGATTGTCATCTTCTAACGAGTGCTCTGAGTAGACAAAATCAACTGATATGATGGTGTGTTCAGGGGGAAAAAAAAAACAAAGAAGTGTCATCAGGTGAAGGGGGTGGATCACTTGTGCAAATGCACATAAATCTCATGAAGGCCATACATTGTATCTAACTTGCTGGCAGGTTCAAATCTTACTCATCTTAGTCTTCCATGATGGTTCACTCAAGTTTCTGCACTGTGCGCTTGTGGGCAGTGTCACTGACATCTAAGAAGTAGATCCTGCCTCCATCTTTGACCCTGAAGATGGAGGCAGCATGTACCTCCGAAAATGTGAACACCACTGCCCACATCCACAGGCTTAGGCCTAATGAAATCCTAAAAATCATTTTACAACATCAACAAAGTTGTGGAAGACTTCTAAAACCATGTTTATCAATTTGTGGGACTTCAAAATTGGCTATGGGATGTGAGGCCCCAAAAGAACTTTCATTAATTGTTGTTGTTATTATTATTATTTCTCTACCAGTAATGCTTCAGTCTTTAGAGGGTGCTTGGTTTGAATCTGAGTCAGGACACTGACTATGCTGACAGATTTATTGTAGTTTCCCTCAGTCCCTCCAGACAAAAAGCCATGATAACTCAATCAAGCTATGGCTGCTTCCTCCAAAATTGTTTCAATTTCAATGATTCATTTTCTACAGATTATCTGTCATCAAAGGTTATATTAAAATGTTTCAGAGACTGGGCCCTGTCTCCATCCTCGGACAAAAGGCCTACTTGGGTGGGCTCAACTGGCAGCACTAGTCCCTATCTCTGGACACCAGAAGTAACATAAGACATGATATATAAACCAAACATGTCAGAAGTCAATGGCAGGAGTTAAGATACAAAGTCAAAAGGACATATTCAAATGCATGCAAGAGATCTTGCAATTCAGTGTTCATTAACCATTCTACCATTTGATGTGATATGATACTGAAAGCGTTGTACGAAAAAGCAAAAAAGAGAAATACAACACCAAATGTACATAACTTAATTAAGAATACTCTTCTTGGAACAGGAGAAGCTTAATTTTCCTATGGTAGGACTATAGTGGTTGAGTTGGATTTGAGATTCTCACAACAGTAAGTATGAAGAGCACTATCTTCTGGCATAGAATGTTGTGTAATGCAGCAGAAGTGCACAGGACTACACTGTGTTATATCCCACATGACACAACTCTTCAAGACACAAAAGACTGAGGGCCACTGCTCTAAATGAGAGAATTATATTCTCTTTAATTTTCATCATGAGATCATGCGCAAAAAGGGAAATTACATAGACAGATGCAATACACGCATCAATTTGATATTTAAAAGTATATTCTGACATGAAGAAACATGCCAAGAAACTAACTTGACACAGATGTCCGATGTGATGCTGTGTCCACCCATGAGGTCAACCTGCTCGAGGGCAGGGCAATGTTCAATGAATGGTTCAAGATCTCGATCAGTGATGCTTCTCAATGCTGCGAGAAATAACTTGCGAAGACAAGGGCATCCAGTGGCCAGAGAGCGGAAACTGTCCCCAGGAGCACCAACACCTCCGCTGAAACAGACAAACAAAACATGGTACATAATATTATACTGCAGCACTCTGTTACACTGTGTATTCTAAATTAGCACTCACGCTTGTCACTGTCCCTGTGCAACTTTGTTGATGTATGTATTAAAATTCACAGTTTATAAGCATTCGTCTCTTCCTATTATTTGAACACTAAATGTTTTGGCCCAACTGGCTATCATCAGGTGTACAAGTTGTAGAGGAAACGCCTGTTCCTCTGTCACACTAAAGGTGTAAATTACAGAATATTGTAAAATTAGTTTTAAAGTATCATAACATAATTATTTTACTGTATGCATGTGTTGTGGGTATGGTGTGTAATTTGTTGGCTTTTCTTTGTTGCTGTGTGTAACTGCTAATTTATAAAACACTGTAGTTTAGTGCTGTTTTCCTGCTTCATATTTTGGAGATCCCTGGTTCAATTCTCAGTTGGAAATTCACCACTAAGATTACTGACTTTGCATCACTGAAAATGAATGTTCACTGACAGAGAAACTTGAACTGAGGAATGTTCAAGGGGAATTCCACTGTACCTCACTGGGCTGCAGACTGTTTCATTTTGTAACGAGTCTCAGCGACAGGCACACTCACCACCAGCCCAGGTCCACTTCCTCCAGTTTCTGACACTTGTGCAGGGCTTTAACACCTACTGGTGTCAAGCTGTATGTTTTCCAGAAGTCCACAGACACCAGTTCCTTGTTATATGCTGCCAGGGTTTGAGCAACGTCATCCATGTTTGATATGTGTCCACATGAACCTGTAATAACAAACGGTGACACAGAATCTCCTTACACGCATTTCACGTCCACTGTCTCTAGGTTCTTGGATTTGCACACATCATTTCTGTGACCTTCAGAACATGTTTTTCTACTATGGTTACTATGAAAATACAGTAAGCCCTTGCTAACCCAGATTAATTAGGGGAGGAGTTCATCCAGATTAATGGAGCAAAAGACAAAAAAACTTAGAAAACAAATAAATGGTAAATTTAATAATACAGGCAGTGCTGATGAAAACAAATAAAAATCACTGCAGAGCCTTTATTTAAAAACCATAAAAAGACAAAAAGCTGAAATCCAGGGTCTACTGCACCAAGCTCAATGGATATATTCTTGCATGGTTTCAGCCTCTCCAGGTACCCTAAACAGAGTCTGAAAATCCTCTTGCTCCTAAATCCCATGTCTTTTTTAGAGCATGTACTCAACTATAAACAGAATTTTCATTTTTCATATTTTGATCCAGATTATCTGACATCTGGATTAACTGTAACCAGATTAGCAAGGGTTTACTGTATATTCATTGCCATGACCCCACTGCTTTAGCTGTGGGGAAAGAAACTGACTTCGACCTGAAACCAAGAACACAACAGAAAAGTTAACAATTTTCCTGTGACTGTTTCTCCAAGAGGGACATTCTGTATGGTTATAATTTCTTACTGTGATGTGCTGTCTGGGAGAAGTAGACTGGGGTGGACACACTGACGTTTGGTGATTATACACACTGATTTATGGCTTAATGTTTTTAACTTCACGAGTTTATAGCTGAGATCATTCCAACGTAGAAATGTCATATAAATATAGGTTGGATTGTCAACATTTTTGGAGCAATGGATGTTTGAAATTCCAGACTGGATTGGATGTAAGTCACAAGAATTTCATGCTAGCAGCAATGCATATTGGCATTTGAATGCACAACCATGGACCTAACCAGCAGAGACTATGTGATGATGTGTCCTATGGTTTGCAGTTCACGTTTTATGTAAAATTATGCCTTTTACATTTTTAGATGATGAATGTGCAGATAATGTGCCTGTTTTATGCGTTCTGTTATGACAATATGTATCCTGCTGCTGAATGCCAGCAACAATTTCCAAATTGAAGAAATCAAGATAAAAATTGTTTATCAACATCTTTGAGACACTGTATGAGAGTGGTTTTATATATATGTACATAGTCTGACAATAAAGTTTGCGAACTCGCCACCGTGTGCTTGCCATGGCAGCAGTGGACAGAAACCTCAGTATGGTTTGATGTTGGCATATCAGCGTTTCACAGTGGTGTTATTGATCTATGGCAGTCTCTTTCTGAGTGGGACCTATTATTGTCTGAGTATGTTCTGGTGTGCCACTGCAAGAATGTTGGAGCTTCTTGTTAAACTTGGCAAGAATAGAAGTGAAATCAGACAAATGTTAGTACAAGGTTATGGGGGGTAATGCTATGAAGAAAACAGCAGTTTACAAGTATGCGACATGTTCCTGTGAGGGAAGAGAATGTGGCACTGATGAAGAGAGAGCAGAGAGGCCAGCAATGAGCATAACTGAAGAAAATATTGCAAAAGTTCATCAAATTATCCGTGAAAATCATCAGCTGACTGTCATCGGGAGCACAGTAGAGCAAGTGAACATAGAGAAACAGTTAGGAAAGCCTTAACTGAAGATCTCAACATGAGGAAGGTGTGTGCAAAAAATGGTCAAAAAGGAGCTCACTGAAGAACTGCACCTGTGAGGGAGTTTTTAGCTAGTAAACAAATAACTGTGCTGGAACACCCCCATATTCACCGGATCTAGCCCCCAGTGACTTTTTTCTGTTCCCAAAGGTAAAGGAAACATTGAAAGGAAAGCATTTTGAGAACACTGATGACATCAGGAGTAATACAACAGCACCTCTGCAGGCCATTCCACAAAACCAGTTCCAAAACTGTTTTGAAGGGTGGACTAGGCGCTAGCATCAGTGCATAGCTTCCCTTTGAAGGTGACCACAGTGATATTCTGCAATGAAGTATGTAGCACTTTTACTGCAATGAGTTCATGAACTTTATTGTCATACCATGCATGTGCAATACCTTTGCACTGGGTTCTGTATCTATAGGGATACATGAAAGAACAAGTGTCTCAGAAAAAGGTTGAAAATACTCTATCACATTTTGGATATTACATCAGCATAACGGGCAATTCTAATAAAGTAATTCGAGCTTCATGCTTAACTCACAAGGGAGTCAGGATGTGTACTGGGGCTGAAGACGCTAATTGTGAGCATTTATTTTAAATTCAGTAATGACAATTTTACATGAACACTTGTTCCTTTGTTTCTAATGTTTTAACACTCTGGCAACGATAACTGTTGAGAACCTGACCTATGATTATATGTGATTTCTAACCGGGAATGACCTCAGGTATAAGCTACTGAAGTTAAGACATTAAGTCATGAATCACCCTGCATATGGATACTGTACTGATACTTACCCATATTAATATGTTTCAGCTGAGGTGAAGATTTCAGTATTGCTTTGAGTGGCCCCAAATCAATGAAAGTTCGATACAGATCCAAATACTGCAGGTTTTTCAATGAAGCTAGACTTTGGAAGCCAAGTTCTGTGATGTTATGACAGCTTCGAAGACAAAGTTCTATGAATACAAAGACACAATTATGCACCTAAAGCAATATACAGGGTGATTCATATAGAACCAGCCCGATGAAATGAGCTGTAATATAAAATATACCATACAGGTATTAAAGTAATTTACACATATCTTATATTGGATTGCGCACCGTGATCAGAGCAGGTGTTGAAAGTGTCCGCCATTTTCAAGTGGACACTAGAAACACTCGCTGTTCAACGGTGTACTCCATGACTGTCACCTGCGCACTGCAGACACGTTTTGGGATTGTCCTTGACCTTGCAGCATAAGGGCTGCCACTTGCCGGATCATGCGTACACCATTCGACTCAGCATGGCCCACGGATTATTATGTCATAACTGTGAGCGGTTATATGCATCACCTGCAGAATTATTAGCAAATTCATCGGGCTGGTTCTATACGATTCACCCTGTACTTTATTACTCATTTAATTTATGACACTGTATGGTAAAGCTAATATAAACTGTGTGTATTTCACATCTGTTTTGTATTTCATGTGTGGTGTACTTAACAATGCTGTCATATTTCAGTCTACATAGCACCAAATGGTAGGACTGGTGAACAATAAATTGGAGGGGATTTGGGAGAAAGCAGCTGCAGCCTATCCTGCCAATTGACTGCATGGACTGAAGAAACTCATGAAAACCTCAAGCAGGATGTAACGTTACATATTTAATTTTGTAGTACTCTATGGTATGTGCTCTTGGCTATGAACTCTATACTATCCTATGATGCATCCATTAGTAGGGTCAGGCAGAAATCTGGCACCACGGGTCTCTTAGAGACAGTCACGAGTTGCTGACATGGCAGCTCAGTGGCACTCCAGATGCTGTCCCTTACCATGTGGGAAGGAAGAGGCAGACCTAGGGGCCATCTGGCAGTCTGCAAGACAGACAGATGGCTAGTTCAGAAATTTTGTTGGGATATACCATCATGTTGAGTCTGGCAATCCTACAGGTACTCTGCAGCCATAATCATTGGAAGGTAAGTACCTTATACAATTACATCTGTTATTATGTCAAATAGCAAACCAGCTGGGAGCATAACTTTTAAATCATTTCTGGTTCGGGGTACGAGATTTCTTGGTTGGTTCATTGGTGTGCTCATACTAAGCAGAAATGAATTCACTCTTGTGCTGAATGGGATTGAGATCTGAGGCCATAAGGAGATGGCAAATGAACTGTGAACTTGTGCTGCTCTGTAGTTAGTATCAAGAGCTGTTTTTATTCCAGAGTGCGATAACAGCATAACTGTTCAAGTTGGTTCTGTTTTAAAATGTTCCAGATATTAATGCATAATATACACAGAAGAACAAGGATTTCAATTAAATATTATATTCATATATATATATAATATATATATTCAATTATATGGTTCTAAAGAAAATGGCATTGGCCATATTGTACTTACTTACTTACTTATTCATGGAGCTGAGTCTTTCTTGAGGAGCTGCCAATTCTGCAGCTACTCAAGAATTGGCCATATTATACTAAACCTTCATTTTCTGTGTCACACATACACGCCTTTTTTCTTTATAATAAACCCATTTTACTAATTATTACGTTAAAACTGTCTTTTGTTGAATTAATGACTTACCGCTGCTATCGAGGCTGTGGTATGGTGATGTTTCTGTTGCCTTTATGTGAAACAAGTGTTTGTGGAAGTGAACAACCTTCTGTTACAAGTTTAGCCAGTGTCCTGAACAAGATTTGAATGAAGAACCTCTCAAATACAAATTTTGACTGTAACTGCTACACCAACCCGTTCAATGTATAGCCTATGCTTGGTGCAGCATCACTGGGTTGGACTTATATTTGGGAGGTACTCCATTTGGATCTTGAATGAAACACCAGCTATACTAATAAGATCTAAAAGTTTGTGATGATGGTACATTGCTACAAGTATGTTTTTGGACAATATCCACCGTCCTGTCTATTTTCTAAAAAAAAAGTCCTGTTTGTTTTTCAAAACACAACGTTTTGGAGACTGGATTCTGTCCCCGTCCTCGGGTAAAATGAACTCAGTTGTGACTAGCTCTATCTATAGGACCCAACTGAGACAGAATCCAGTCTCCGAAATGTTGTTTTTTGAAAAATAAACAGGAGTTATAAGTTAAACCACACAAAGGAAAAGTGTCATCTTACATACCTTTCAAATTTTTACACTTTTCAGCTACCTTCATGGCACAATAATTGTCTGCAAATTTACAGCAATTCAGTCTCAAATGGGTAAGGTGACCTCCACACTCCTCAATAAAACTGGAATCATGTAAACAAACATAACTGGAATAAATCACGATGCATGGAGAGGCCATTATTCACTGGAACTCAGCTATGGCACTGAAATCTGTGGTGCAGAGCTAAGGTCTCCGTGAACCACCCCTGCAGGAGGATGAAAATGACAACCTGTGTGCCTTTCTGAAAAGAAATTATTGGATAGGAATGGAAACCCTGTCACAGTCACAGACTGAACACTGCATCATGGACACAACTGTTCACCAAATATACAGCATGTCCATAAAATCTCTATTTAATTTATTGAAATAATTGTAAATTTTATTTCTCACGTAAAATGGTAAAATTGTCCCTGATCTTAACTAATTAAGCACTATGCCATGAAGGTGTATGGGGGAGTGGATGTATAGATCAACATTTTCTTGACCGTGGCACTTGCTACATGTGAGTGGTCAGCTTCACGCCCCAACCACTTTACCCCTAGGGAAAATTCTCAGGTAGACATTGGGTAGGATGCTGGGTGGGCCCCAGAGCCAGTCTGGATGATGTGGTGAAGGGAACATTCTTCACCCTCCCAGGACTTGGAACTCTGATTCCTTAAATAAAATGTGTTAGTACTGTCACACTCATTTGAACACTAAACAGTCATGCATGCAGTTAAGTGTCCTCAGAATAGGCAGGAATAGAATGTGCAAGTGAAACACACAAGTAGCAACACGTGACTGTCAGCCAATGCTGTTTCGAGGCAACCAGTGCTGTGTGATAAGGCATCATAGAATCAGAGTGGGACTACAGACATAGGTGATTGCATTCTAGAGCAACGTAACAATGAAAATGCTAATAAAACCAGCAAGACATTGCTGATGATACTAACAGGTGTGAGAGAAGTTCAGTAGCAAATGTGACTGTATTCAAAACTCACTCTATGAAATCCTCTGATATGATATGGTTAAAGTCACCACACCAGGACAAGTCCAACTTCTGAAGGTATAGGCACTGTTTTGACACTGACCTTAATGCTGTTGCTGTCACACAATACCAGTACACCTGCAAAATATCATGACATGTCATTAACTTTTATATTCGTCTGAATCTTGCAGCAGCTCAAACAGAAGTAAAAATATGGAGTACGAGCGTTACACCTGGTGAGAATTCAACAAACAGTAGCATCATTCGTTAGATAAACTTTCGTATGATTAGCTTTGGCCACTTTCTCCATTCTTCCTTTCCAGTCCTACATGATATTGAACGATGCATTGAGGCTGTTGCTTAAAGCCATGTACCATGAATAACAAGTACAAATAGTCAATCATAAACCATCTCCTTTATATAATATATTAAACTTCACATACCCACATCAAAATATTATCAGTGCTCACAGAATAGAGACGATACACTGAAACAAAAGACCTATCACTCATTTGTGACCAATTATATGTAGCACATCCACAAAGTAATTTCCCCACTCATCCCACAGCTAGCAAACCTTATACTGTGCGAAACGACTGCACATATGTGATAGAGCAATGACGTAGCATGGCGCATGCACAAACGGAATTTCCCGCGTTCCCACAGTAGCATCATTGCAGCTGTTGAAGATGGAGGCTCTTATTCCAACTCCCGCCGACTGTGAAGTGCGGTCAATGATAAAAGTTTTTCAATGCACAGAGCATAGCACCGATCGAAATTCATCGTCAGCTGTGCTGGGTCTATGGGCTTAACGTCATGAGCAAGCAGATGGTGTGTCGCTGGTGCAGACAATTTTCATCAGGTCGACAAAGTGTGCATGATGAGAAGCACAGTAGACGGCCATCCATCATTACTGACGAACTGGTGGAGCTTGTGCGGGAACGCATTATGGAGAATCGTCACGTCACAATTGCGGAACTCAGCAGTCATGTCCCACAGATTTCCTGCTCCTTGTTGCATGAAATTGTCACGGAGCATCTGTTGTTCAGGAAATTGTGCGCCAGGTGGGTGCCGAAGCAACTGACACCAGAACACAAAACAAAGCGCATGGAGTCAGCATTGACCTTTCTGCAGTGGTACCATGATGATGGATACGAGTTTCTGGACCGTATCATCACAGGTGATGAAACATGGATTGCACACATTACCCCAGAAACTAAGCAGCAGTCAATGCATTGGCGTCACAGTGGATCTCCCTGTAAGACGAAATTCAAGTAGACGTCGACGCGGAAAGTGATGTGCACTGTATTCTGGGACAGACGGGGCGTTCTCCACGTCGACTTCCTGACCAGAGGTGAGACGGTGAATGCTGAGTGTTACTGTGAAACACTGCACAAATTGCGACGGGCCATTCAGAAGAAGCGGTGCAGGATGCTTAGTGCCGGTATTGTCTTCCTGCACGATAACGCTAGGCCGCACATGGCTCGACAGACAGCAAGTCTCCTGTAGGAGTTCAGCTGGGAGGTGTTTAATCATCCACCCTACAGCCCGGACCTCGCTCCCAGTGATTTCCATCTTTTCCTACACCTCAAGAAATTCCTGTCCGGTGAGCGTCAGCATTTTGAGAATGACAGAGAGGCGGAGATGGTTGTCACACAGTGGTTCCAATCCCAGGCGGCAGACTTCTATGACACAGGGATTCAAAAGTTGGTCCCACGGTATGACAAATGTCTCAGTTCCAGTGGCGATTATGTTGAAAAATAGCTGAATACTTGCTGTATCTGTTGCAATAAATATTTCCACAAAATTGTGTTTTGTTTCTGTAAACGGCCCCAGGGAAACTTACTTTGTGGACGAGCCTCGTATAACTTGCATTCATGAAACATATAAATGCTCAACAATTTGTTGCTAAGGTTGCATCACTTGATGCTGGGTCAGACCGTAGGCTGGGATTTGAAACGGGGATCTTATAAATAACAGGGCACAAAGTAGCATTCAGTGCTCTAGTCACAGATGTGTACAAACCTTCAAATTGAGCTCTGTGTAGAGCTGAGAGTCTGTAGCAAGATCATGGAAGCGTCTGCTTACTTGTGCACATCTGCATAATGAAAGCAAGCTCAGGTACCCAAAAATCTTCAACACAGTTTCATCCTGGAGTAAGAATTACTGCTGTTAATAGGAATTACTTTCTGAGAAGACAAGGTGTGAAATCCATGCGTTTGCTCAATTTCTATGACCTGTAAGAGCACTGCACTCTGCATGCAATAAAACTATACATATAACATGATGCAGTGACTGCACTGTGAATCTTAATACCAAGCTCACTGCCACAGCATTCTGTTTCATATAAATAATACTAACACCATGATAACTATCAAGTTGGCTCAAGCAGTAACACTTCTGACCTGCACTTGGGAGGTGCCCTGATCAGGAGGCCAGCTGTCGACTGAGGTTTCATGTGGTTTTCTTCAGACCTTCCAGATGAATACTGAGACATTGCTTCAGAAAAGGTCGTGACCAATTCCTTTCACATCCCTTCCCATTCATCATTAATTAATCATCCCACCATTAAATGCAACTAATTACAACAAGAATACTGTCAAGTTCCCTTTCCAGAAGGACTACCTTCTGGGATGTGATGCCATATAGTGTAAGAGTAAGGTAAAGTTATCCCTGTAACAGGCCATGGAGACCCATACAGTTGTGAGATAATGAGTGTCCCACATTATCTACAAAATCAGCTCACAGATGGCGGTAAGGTTGTCAGCATTATGTGCTGGCCGCCCTCCCCCAGAAAGATTCTGGTACTCATTTCTGTCAGAGGCTGAAAAGACCCCAGGGACAGAGTGCGGCTGGAAGGATTAGGTCAGTTAAAAAAAAAAACACCTCATCGGGTCTCGAACCTGCGACCTTCTGGCTTGTAGCATAGTGCCTCAACCAACTACACTACCGTGTGCCCCCATTGCCGTATAGTTTGGCACCGCTTTACCAGTGTTTTGAGGATGCAAGCAAGCAGCAAGCAGAATGCTTATTCTTCAGTCCTTAAGACGAAGTACACGGGTCCCCCCAAAAAAGGGTGAACTTCCACCAGATTACAAAGCATCAAATCCCAGAAGACAATACCCTTCATAGTCCCTGACCAATTCTGAACCCTCAGAGACATAAACTAAATGAAGATATAAATTCAGTACTGTAAAATCACAATAAACAGAAGCAAAATACTGTACACAATCTTGAAAGAAATGAGGACAATCTGGAGCATTCGACTGGGTTTGGTATGGATATGAATGCAGTAGAGAATACACCTCAGTGATCAGTAAGACTTACAAGTAAAGACTACTGAATAAATAAATCTTCAATCGACATACAGGCAAAATGTCAAAACTCTCAGCTCCTGTGGACAGAGTTACTTTGTTGAAAGTCGAGAGGACTTGGCCCACTTCTCCCGTTCCCTTCAGTAACTGGGGTAGCTCCTCTTCAAGAAAGTTCACTATGGAATTAGGAATATCGATCTGAAACATATTAAAAAAAATCAGAAAACTGATGACTACCAAACTTGGCTCTGCTTGCAGCCAGCTCAATGCTGGTTTCCTGGTTGGCTTCTTCTTCAAACCTGAATATGGAGGCGATATATTCTTCCAAAATTTCAGTTGACTCTCAACGAACTACATAGTATTATATCCCAGAAGATAAAAGTTTTCAATCTCAGTCAAGACTCAAAACTACTGAGATGCAAAATGGGGTGTGCAGTTGGTGCATGTTCAGAGTGTGACATCACTCCCCGAAGGTTATGGTTGTGTAGTAACAATTCATGACAGAGAGATCATGAATACTGATTGCTGTTTAAATTACCATGGCACTAAACTAACATATGGGCTTCAGAAGACAGAAAATGTTTTACACTAAATGTGTGTGTAACGGCAGCAACCACCGCCAGGTCCCTCAACCAGACCCCCTTCTTTCCTTTTCCCCCTCTCCACATGCCCTACGCTTGCGCCCTTCATCCTTTCACCAGGGACTGAGAGGCTCGTCTGAACACTGGAGGGCCATTCTGCTGCACGCCGTGGAAGAGTCTGGTCTCGGCCCAAAATTATTTTTTGGAATTGTGGTTTACTAAATTAACGGCGGAGTTGGGGGACGCTTGTACGTTGTGCCGTCCTTATCTGGGGCAGTTTGTTTTTTTTTAATCAATTATATTATTATATTCATTTGGTGTCTGTATTGTTAATATAGTTTCCTATCCCAAACCACTTTTCGGTCCTTGGGCTTTGGTACGTTTCAAAAAGTGGTAGCAGAGCGTGGTTTGGGGTATTTGTACTTTGGTTTGCTTGTTGGGACGTTTTGACTGTTTCTATTCTGTTTTGTGTTGATCATGACGTCTGAGCCTCTACTGCCCGAGTACCTACACAAGGACGAGCTGCAATACGAGCTGGCAGCTCGGGGGATTTCGACGGAACGGTTGAATGTCGCCGCACTCAGATCACTACTCAGGACCTCCCGGGATGTGGAGGAAAACATCGAGCTCCTGAGGAGTATGAAATGTCTGAAGGATCCAGCAGGCACCATTTCCTTGTATCGGGAGAAATTCCTCCAGATCAGGGAACTGGTGGAGAACACCGACAGCTCCCGCATTGCACTTGATTTCCCTCGCTATCTACATCGACTCGTCCACCTGGGTACTCGACTCCGACATTTTCTGCAATTTGGGGGAAGTGCCCCAGAGTTCGAGGTTTCTGCCCAAACACTGCGTGAACAATTGGACGGCCTCTTAGCCGACATCAACACGAGTCTTCAGGGCGAGGAGCGTGTGGCACCGGTCCCGGGCCCCTCTGGAAGTACTGACACACCTCAAGGCGATCAAGGTAGGCTCGAAACGACTTTTCACCTCCCTGGGCCTGTGGATAAGGAGCCTTTGAACCCCATCAGTAGGCTTGTTGACGGCTCCAGCCAGAGTGACGGTCAACCTAGGTTGTCCAATTTACTTCCCCCAGGGGCTCCCCTTTACCCACCGGTTATGGGTAATCCCACTTTTGTTTTCGCCAAGCTGCCGAATCCTGTGCAGCGCATGTTTGAGGGTCTTTCCCCCACAGATGGGTTGCATCTTGGCAACCTCATAAAATTTTTGCGCGTTTTAGTGCGGATTCGAGAAAGCCTGGTTGTTTTCCAAGTTCCCCCGGGTCACGTGCTGCAGGTCCTTTTTACTTTCACTAAAGGCGCATTGGCATCCAAGACTATCGAAGCCATAAGCCGCGGGGATACCCTCCACGCATACCACGAGAGCATACTTTCCTTTTTTATTCCCCGGCGCTCCATGTTGCCGTTACTAAATTCAGAGTATTTGAGAGCTCAGAAGGCCAATGAACCCCTATCTATGTACATAACGGATATCAAGGAAATGGCCGCTGTTCTTCAGCAGGATGCTAATGAGGCTGCGGTAGTCAGGAATATTCTTGACGGACTCCATCCTCAGGAGCGGAATCGCCTAGTTTTCTGCGATGCCCCGACAACCTATGCGGAATTAGATAAAATGTGCATATATGCGCACAGTATTCTGCGTAATGACCAGAGTCATACCTCCCAAATGGGGACTCCATCGAACTCGCCGACACATGCCGATCGGCACGTGTCCACTGCGCCTGTTTCAGCCCGTCCGAGGACCGTCTGCTATCGGTGCAATAAACCCGGTCACACTCGCAAGGACTGTTATGTCCGGTTACCCACC